TTATAAGGGATGTCTTTGTTTATATACTCCAAGACTCGGTAGAATCAATCATTGATGTTAGCAAGAAGGATACCACCAAAATTGATTTGGATAAGATCATGAAAAAGGTACTTGGTGAGGATTTAATGTTCTCGAAAAAACAAGATAAAGGAATGATGTGGCTTAATGCTATTATTCTTACTTTACTCTTCTTGTTCTCTTTTGGCTTTGTCGGGTATCAAATGAACAAGAACGAAAGAACTCAGCAAGAGAAGAAGAAGTGAATATTACCGTGTGAATTGGTTTTGACCAGTAACAAATACAATGAAGTCATTTACTTTGAGACAAAACAACTACTTCACTCTTAGATGAACGTTCACAGTGATCACAAGAAAACACAAAGAGAGAGTCGAACTCCGGGATGTCGCGCATGAGTGAGATGATGGAGGGGAGGACTTGAAATTCAAAGTTAAGAAGGTGCCCACAATGTGGACACTTTGTGGTTGAGATCTCAAGACCTTTGTAACACTTGTTGACTATCAAAGGCTCACCACCATATCGTATAATCTGTTTCGGGTTATTTAACATCGACTCTGTGAATACGTCCCACTCTTTGTCTTCAACTTCTTCAAAGGAATCCTCTCCACCAAGATCGTCTACTTCTTTTTTAAATGTTTTTAATTTCTCGAGCTCATTCTCGTTGAATTCACTCTTTGTGGAATACTCATCGTACCACTCAATCCACTTGCCACATACCCTCTCTTTCTCTTGTTTGTCTTTTTTCTGAGTACTTTTTTTGGAAGGGGTCTTCGTTTGAGAAATTACTAAAGTGTGAAGTGCCTTATCGTCCAAATCACACATCTCAAAACCAAATCCAGTAGTTGTCTGTGTTGAAGAGTCGCCCAGTCCAAACGAAAACCCGACTTTGGATGTCTCTTCATCTTTTGTTTTTTCAATTTTTTCAACTTGTTTGTCGAGTTGTGGAGAGTCGAAGCGCTTACATGGATTTGAAAATGCCTTATAAGTTGCATGTGTAGGACAATAAAACACAGCGACATGTCTGTTCTGTAACACATCAGTAGGGCAGTGCAAATAGAGCATTGTCTTCATCGTCTTTTTACACTTGTCGCAAAGGGGTGCTTCGATATCGACAGCTCTTCCACTGTAACTGGAGAGTTCCTTGTCGTCCTCGTCACTCTTTTTAACTCCTTGTTTTGTAAATGCACCTACTGTGCAAATGTACTCTCTCTTGCTTTCTCCCTCCATTTCTAAACCCTTTAAAACTTCATTAGTTAGTTTATAAAACTTCGTTCAATAGGTCATTTAAGTCTTCAATAGTATAATAAAATAAACTATATTGAACTATAATTTTACCATCCCAGTTTCTACAAAGAACTCGAAATAGTAAGCGTTGATGGCATCAGAAGAGGTGACCAAGAGGTGGAATCGTTGTTTTGGCAAAAACTCGTTCATCGTGATGTTGGACGCTGTGGATAATGTCGACAATTTGGTGAATTATATCTCAACTATAAAACCGATGATCCAGGAGTTAGTCATTTCCTCCGCTCAAGTCGACCACATCCCAAATTTGGAACAACTCACTTTACTGAGTATGTTGGACTTCAGTTTTAATAAAATCAATGACATTAGTATACTTGAGAAATGTAAGTCCCTTCAAACACTTATTTTGGCGCAAAATGAAATTAAGGACATCGCGTGTTTGTCTAGTCTTCACGCGTTAAGTACGTTGGATGTGTCGAATAACTTGATCACAGAAATAACAACGTCGCCGTATTTGAATCGACTCAAAACATCAAACACTCCACTCCAAAAACTGACAATAACATCGCCTCTTAGGTCACTCTTTCTTGACAAAGTGCCAATGAAAGAATTGAAGTTGAATATCAAAACACTCGAGCACTTGTCAATATCAAATTGTGAATTCACATATCTCGACTTGGACTGCGAACATCTCACGGAACTTGTCGCAGATTATTCTGTGATACCACCAACTTCAACTTTGAATTTGCCACATCTCCAAGGATTGATGATGAACCACGCGAATGCAGACTCTGTCAGCGCATTACTTTCAAAAATTTCACACCTTAAAAACGCGGTTTTGCAGTTTGGGGAGCTCAAAAGGTTTCCAGAAGAGTTGCTCCAGATTCGCAGTCTTGAGTTGGTCCAACTCTCGTCAAACCCTTTCACGGAAATTCCAGAACAAATCACTCGACTCACCAACTTGACACATTTGGATGTCGTCGATTGTATCATCGAAAAGTTGCCCAATATGTCCACAATGGAATTAAAGAACTTCTCTGTTGGGTTTGAGGACGATTCGTGTGCGAAGAATTATCAACCCCTCTTACCTAAGGGTTGTGTCATCATCGGAAGAGAGTGGAAAAAGTTCGACAAAATCGTCGACCGCCTTTATTTAGGAAGTTACGCTAACGCACACAACAAGCGCTTTTTACTCGAAAACAAAGTCACGCACATCCTATCTGTCGCACCTCTCAAACCCGTTTTCCCTGAATTATTTAAATACAAATGTATTGACATCGACGACAGCGTCTTATTAGATATCACCCCTTTTATTAACGAATGTATCAGTTTTATAGATGAGGGGAGAAAGTGTGGGGGTGTCTTAGTACACTGTGCTGCTGGCATCTCACGGAGTGCCTCAATAGTGATCGCTTACTTGATGAAAACTTTTCGGTGGTCTTACGAAACGGCTCTCAATCACACAGTAAAGTGTAGGCCGATCATTTGCCCTAATTCGTCTTTTGTCAAGCAGCTCAAAGAGTACGAGAACACTCTCCCTAAAGAGTCTTCGACCTGCACTCTAGTCTAGTCTGCTTATAGTTTAATTTTAGATACATCTACTATTCTATTTATATAATTCTATTTCTATTCCTTTTTATTATCTAATAATACTTATAATACTCAATTCATTGATAAAATGTAACTAATATAAATCGATCTTACTCTCCTGGGCTATGTGAGTTGACCCGATGTTGAATTTCAAAAGTGTGTCCAAGTCAATCTGTGAATACTTTTCTCTGAAGGCAATTCGTGTTTCTGGGACGACGTTTGATGGTTCCAAGTTTTGGTCTTTCATCCAGTCCTTCTTGAGTGTCTCTGGGAATGAAGAGACTGTTACGGAGTTCTGTGTGATCTCTGCAATGTCTGTGGCCGTCAGTTTGAATTGTTTTATAGTTGAGGCATACTCTTCAACGAGTGGTTCTTTAGTCGAGTGTGTATGCATCGGAGAGTCTGTAGATAAAGTGACCAACATTCCTCTCATGAAATATTTATAAAAAGGGTGGTCGACAATGTCATACAAGAACTTGTCATAAATAGGGCAGCACACAATTCCAATTCTCGCCAATATGAAGAGGTATTGGAGTGTGTTTTGATTGTCCAGTGTATTCCCATGTGAAATCGAGTCTGCCGTCAAAAATGCTGCGGCGTTATGCATTGGGTCTCCCGCCTCCCCGCAATGCGGTTTAAAGTCAAATGTATTCATCTTCAGACTTCTCCTCAAATTGTTCAGCACAAACAAATTACTTTTGACAAAGTAAATCCAATACACAAAAGGGGGTTCCTTATGTGAATTCCACTTCCTCGGCAATGGCAATGAATCAATCGACAATTTCCCTTCATACTCCATTTCATCTCCTTTACAATCAAAGGCTCCCACATTATTTAAGAAATGAGTCAGTTCAGGGTATTTGTCAGGATTCAATGTCGACAAGAAAATGGGTTCAAAGATATTTCTCAACACATCTTCAAAGCATGTGACATCTCCCGCTTTTTTCAGTTCAGAATATTTTCGAGGTATTTGAATGGAAAACTTATTCGAGTCCTCCCGGATGATATCCTCTTTAATCACTATTTTCGCAATGTCCTCCAACTCGCTCATCTTTCTCCCATACAAACACAAGTGCATCTCAGTCTTAATATTCGACGTGATCTTCTTTTTGTTGAATTGCGTTTGTTTCAAAAACTCACAGAAATACTCTCCGTCTAAAAAGTTGTTCGTCGTCAAGAACAAGTCGCGGAGTTCTTTCACATTAAAGACAGTGTTTTTCGTATCCCACAAATCATACCTTTGCAGCATAGATGGGTCACATGAGACAGACATCTTGTCTAACGAAAATTCTTTGACTTTATATATCTGGAATGCATTCTTCAGTATCACATGTTTGTACACTTTCATCCCATTCTCCGTCGTAATTTTGAGCTCCGGAAAGACCACTCTGTCCCCGTCTTCTGACACCTTTTTCTCAATCAACCGGAGCAAGTCCTTAGGATGGAATGATCGGGACGCAGAAACAACAGAATCCACTTTAATGCACTTCTCAAAGTCGACCGGCAACTTCTTCATCTCCTGACTCTCCAGTGAGTTGTTCAGTATCTTATGTAACAAGAATATTTCTTCTCTGCACTTCAGTTGTTTGTAACAGTACGATCGCGACGGACCATCCGCACAAAATCGGACAAGTTCGGTATAGTCATCCAAAAATCCTTCAATTGGGATGGTCGGGAAAAATGGAAATTGGGGAATCTTCCTAATAGAGTGGTAGATGTCCTTATGGGACTGCTTAAAGCACTTCTTGCAGAACTTCTTCTTGCAGTCAAAACAGTATATGAACGAGTGGTGGAACTTATCGATATCGCACACAGAGTCCGGCGTGTTGTATATATTGTACACCCCATTTTCCATTGAACAGAAGAGTTGTTCGCGTGTCGGCAATTCTATTTGTGCCTCATCCGCCTCAGTCATAATTGCCGGAGGACACTCTTCGAGATATTTCTCTCGAAGCGACATAAAGTACGTCACTTTCCTCATCACATCGACTTCCTTCTTATCATTCGTCGAGAAGTTCAAGTCCACCGTCGAATAAGGGAGATTGAGGAATAGCCCATTTTTGTTTTCATGTTGGAGTGCGTCCAATATCTGAAATTCAGTGTTTAATATTCGCTCTCTGAACAACGTTCTTTTCGACGAAAAACGACCTCCTTTGGACAGTTGCAACATCTTCAATTTGTTTAATACAGAGAACCCACTTTGCTTGATCGAATTGTCACACATCTCCACCATATCAGCGTCTTCATATTTATAAGTCTGTTGCGCCATAGCATATTCCTCTAAGAGAGCGTCTTGAGTTCTGTGATAATACAGTGGTTTGTCTGTGGACAGTGTGACATTCAATCCCTCAACAAAGAAGTTGTCAAATGGATTGTTTTTGTAGCTACAACTCTTCAAGTGATTAGCCATCGGTGAAAGTGACAGTCCAATTTGTGTTAAGAAGTAGAGGTAATTCAATGACGGAGAGTCAACTAGTTTGATACCATGTGACATGCTCTTTGCAACCAAAAATGTAGCAGCCAGATGACTATAATGTCCAGTCTCTCCACTATGTGGTCTGAAATCAAACGTTGACATCCCACGAGACATTCTATAGAGATTCAATGTAGTGATATTCACATACAAATAGTACATATAGATGAAGTATGATGGATTCGTCGATTGCGTGAAATTGTCCGGATCAAACACTTCGCTCCACGTAATTGCCTCGACGAGTCCTTCGTCGTCCACAGAGTCAAACCCCGACACACTTTCAAGCAATTCGGTGAGTTCAGGGTACTTCTCTGGTGTCGTTGAAGCCAGAAAGAGTGGTTCAAAAAAGTTCGCCAAATACTTCGAAAACGTGAATCCCCCTTCATTGCTTTTTCTTGATACAAAGTGTCTTGGAAGTTGAATCAACCACTTGTTATGTGAACTCTTGACATGGTACTTCTTCACCCATTTCGCCAGTTTCACATATTCATCCAAGCCATATCCAAAGATCTGAAGTCGTAACTCAGCATATGTATTTGTTCCTATGAGTTGCTTGAACCAGTTGTTAAGGAGATCGGCAAAGTACTTTCCATCTGTGGAGTTGTCATACCTCAAAAATATCGAATAGAGTGTGTCTTCGATTTTATTTCTTCCGTTGCCGATTTTGTTCAATGTGAGTTTGTCCACCGAGATCCCAGTTCTTTCGCAAAAGTGGTCAAACGTTTCTTCAACTGTTTTCCCGTTCTCTTCTTTTATTTTCACGACAGCATTCTCCTTGAACTTGTCGCGAATAAACTTCACAAGATTCTTTTCCGTCACAAACGAATCCGCGTGGATATGGGTGTCCACTTTAATCGCAGAGAAAAAGTCTTTCCCGGACTTGGACTGGCCTATCGACAATATTTTGTGTGCTTCAAATTGGTGATGGATCTCTTGCATTCTTTCCGATGAAAACGTCTTCGTTGGACCGTCATCGACTATTTTGAGGAGGGTGTTATAGTCCTTCACATATTCATCAAATGATGGCGGGGTATACTGCACATTCCCAACGACATTTTCAACGACAAAGACCCCTTTTTGCTGATAAACTCTGACATCCTCGTCATCAATGAACTTGGTGGTGTCATTCACTGTACCATCAGTGAAGTGGGGAGGAAATACTAATACCCCATTTTCATTCTTGCACTTGATGTCGACACTATCTTCTAGTGCTTCACATGTGACATTCTGATACTTCGTTCGAAGCTTTAAGGCAGTTTGAATCATCGAAGCCGCCTTCTTTCTTTCGTCCGTCACCCAATTAATCGATCGTTCAATCGTGACTTCAGCGTCTCCAAGAAGTGACGGGGACATAGGTCGGTCGTCATCTACAATGTCTTTAGCCTTCTGATTGAGTGTATTTGTAAAGTCCAATATTTTAGTAAATTTGTTTTTGACCGAATTGTTTCGAGAATAAGACCGACTCCTTGAACGCGGTAGTGGAGACGATACTAACACATCTTCGTCACGTCCAGCTCGTGGTATTTCTATTCTTTCAGTGTGTCCATTTGCCTCGACATTAGTGATTGTGACCGTCAGTGGATGAGTTTCAGTCATTTTACTTTTCTAGTTGTTTATTATCATAGGCAAAGGTGTTAAAGTGTGTATAAACTGATTCAATAATTGGAATTAATAAATTATAATTAAATTACTATATCATATAGTATTGAGTTGAAAGTGTTAAAAAGTGTAATTAACTGTATTATAAGTTATAGTTTTTGATTGTACTATTTGGTAAAACAATGGAAAAAACCAAAGAGCAAAAAGTATTAATAAATATAATTATAATAATAGTACTATAGATGCTTTGGCACCAGAGACTCCACTTTATTAATAAGTTGAGTCTTACATAGTTTGTTTGGTGACAGCGTCCGCCATGAACTGCAGTTTTGACACGAAAATAGTCTTCGTGCTTTTAATGAACGCTTCGAACTCCTCTTTACTACTGGGAACAATGTTCTTTCCAAATAAATTGATCAAAAATGGTATATCATCGACAGTGCAAGCCTCTAGAAGAGAAACTAGAAACGAAATTGTTATTCGGAGTAACTGCCCGATAGGAGGTTCTATAATGCTTCCGAGGAAAATGATAGAGTCTGAGTTACAGTCGAAGATTCCTTCAAGAAGAGTTTTTAAAAGATAAATGAATACGTTCTGATGAGTGAGAAGAGCTGGGATGTTGTGGTGAGTGGCAAGAATGAAGCCGACTTGTCGCGATTTCTTCAATTTTTTTGTGTTGACCTTTTGCCATTTTGGGTGAGTCAAATAAAGTGAAAATTGATTGTAAGCCACAATGATTTGATTTGTTGATTGAAGCATTTCATGTGAGGAATACCACTTATATAGCAATTCTTGATTTTTCGTTTCAAATACATTTTGGAAGAAAGCCAACAGTCTGAGTGTTGCTTGAATCGTGTTTTCGTCATGTAGAATGGAATCCAAAACATTTGATATTTTGTTGTCTTCTGTGAAAAATGTCAATTCGACCTTTTTGATCAACTCCTTGTTCAATATCCCCCAATGGGTAGTGACAGGGAGCTGTCCCCATGTCAACAAAATTCGTGGATTTTCAAGTCCAAGTGAAACGATGTTGTCGTATCGGAACAAGAATGAGACTATCGATATCAAATAAAAGGGTTCTTTCGTATAACAAAATTCGTCAAATAAAAGTGCTGAAATCACTGCCAAATCGATTGTTGAAATAGCCAACGACCTCGACAAACTAATTAAAATAGAAATCGCCTCTTTTCTTGACGACACGGGAGGGGTCTTATGTTGCCAAAAAGTCGTTGAGAGGAGTGTAGTATCATTCAACACGTCCACCATCATTCCTTTAGTATCATAAAGAGGGATTTTGTCGATATGTTTAATAAGGATATAAGGGAGGATATTTACCATTTTTGCATATACAATTCGTGGTATATCGAGTTTCATGATTTTGGCATAAAATCGTTTATCTGTTCGTAAGTACATGATCGTAAAGAGTTTTTCTATTCTTTCCTTTTCAATAGTTTCAGATCTGCTCTCAACTTTTTCGTCCAACTTTAATTTTTCGAGTTGGGGAATTGGAGATACAAGGGCAGAGTCTCTCATGAAAGGAGTGTCTCTTGCCAATTCCGTGTATTGTTCCAAAAAGTCTTCCGACGGACTCTCATAGTTCAAATGTTTGTATTTCTGTTGATTCTTCTGAACGTTTTCTGAGAAGAAATCAAACAACTCGACACAACTTTTGTCTGGCAAAGATGGTATTTTCTCTTTGAGTCTTTCATATGCCTTTGGGTTCTTTGAAATGAAAAACGCCATTTGCTCGCAGACCTTTCCTGATATCTTCAATTTCGAATTTAAAATCACTTCGACCACCTCGAACGGCTTTCTTTGTATCTGTGCGACTGTCTTGTTGATTTTGTGGACATTTTTTGTCCCAAATTTTAAATTCTCGTTGACCGTCTCGTGGCACCAATTTGCCGTTCGCATCATTTCTACGATGGGACCAAACTTCTTTTTATCTTTAAGTTGCAAATAGGCGGCTTGTTGTTTGATCATCCCCGACGAGCACAAATAAGCGACTTCAAATATTTTACCAAAAGAATCGGTGCGGTATATTCGTGGAAAGTTAGCGACAACGGCTACTTGTCTGATGAATGTTGAAGTCAAGTCGATGTGAGTTATTGGTTTCAAAAAGAAGAGGTGAGTGTTTCTGCTTGACCTGATACTCCAAAATATTTGCATGGCGCAACACGTGAAGAGGGTGACTGTTAATTTACAGTACTTCCCATGTGTGAAAGTAGTCTCCAAAATATTTAACAAGATGTCGAAAGCCAAGTGGAATGATGTCAGTAAATCGCGTAGTTTTTTAAGTTCCACAACTGTTGGTCCTTTGTTCGATAGAGTTTTGTCATCTTCTACCATTTTAAGAATGTCATTATACCCATTTTGTGTACCTTTTAATACACTGTCCTTTGTTCTCAAATACTCGTTCACGATATTCCCAAATATGTCTGCGCATTGACTGATTAATGTTGTTGTTGATGTGTGTAACACTTTGTTATACAACGAGATACACAAGTCTGTTAGTCTTAAAAGGGTGTAAACGTGAAATTGGGTATAAAACACAGTCGATGACATTTTAGTTTTCATTCGAGTCAATTCTTCGACTAATAAGTCTGGTGAAGATGAGTAATCTATTGGTGGAATCTGATAAAAAGAAGGAATCACTTTATTGGGGTAAATTGCTTCGATTTTTGAGAGTCGTTGGTTTGTGAATTCAATTTGTGATTTCAGCTTTGTGTAAATTTCAAAATAGTCTGTTTGAGTCTGTGTTGTCACTTTGATCTTTGCGCTTTCGCCCATCCGAGGGCTTCCAATTATCACACCAATCCTCACAAAGAAATAGCCATAATTTATTAATGCGCATCGGTAGTCAAAATTGGTCGTTTCTCGTGATAAAAACTCTTCCAAAAGTAACACAGAAGTGTCATTAATATCACCCCACGAAACGCGACTTCCAATGAATTTCACCGTAGTGTCATACATAAGCCAATAATCCCATTCTTTAAACAAAAGTGTAATACTGCTCATGTCTTGTATTTGAATTGTGTGATATTCCAGCTGACTTTCTAATATTTCACGAAGCATCACAAGACTTTCTGAAGGGCAAAAAGAGCGAAATAACCTCACGTATTTACACATTTCAGTGACCCCACTTTCATCAAGTCCACACGATCGAATTAATGTCGACAACGCCATCATCGTTTTTTGAACTAACGTGTTCACGGGGGATTCAACGGTTTTCGAAATGATTTCTAAGTCCCCCAAGTGTTGTATCAAAACTCCCCAAATGGGCGAGTTCACGACATTTTTGCGAGATTCATCATACCCAACAAACACATTACTTTGCTTCACTCCAATCACTTCTATAAGACAGTACAACACACTTTTGAAAAACGTAAAACATTCCGAATAACATTTTGGAACTCTTTTGAGTGTGGTCTCCGTACGCGAGATGAACTGAACGCACTCGGAAATCGAGATTAGACCATTCACAATGGACAGACCACCCCCGCGACCATAAGAGTCTATTGAGGTCCTGATCAAATTCATTCCCTCGTTATGTATGATCTGTAGATACTTTTCGCTCAACTTCCCGAGTGAATTGTCTGAACGAGAAATAAGAAAAGGTGTCTGTGAATAGTCCGACATCTTTGATAACACACAATTGATCGCTTGCAGTGCCGTGAGGCGAAACAGTGGCTGTGTTTCGCATGCCGTTTTTGTTAAGAAGCGTAATACAAAGTCTTGTGGTTTTTGTGAAGCGGTGATGTACACTATATCAGCAAACGTCTTCTGTGCTGTTTGTCTCACAAACTCGTCGGGGTCTTCCAAAAAGTTGTGGACGATTCTGAACAAAATTGTTTTCACTTGAACAACGGGGAGAAGTCTGTGAATTGAATCAAATTTGATTAGATCCTCCCATTCTATTTTTTCCAACTTCTTAAGATAAGCACTTTTCACTCGCGGCGGGAGTGTCGTTGGGATCGACAAAAAGGCGTACAGCGACTCTTTCATCACACTCAAATTCTCAATTGGACTAAACACCAAAAATGATATCAAATTCCCAAGTGCTGAATATGCCGCTTGGCAGTTCCTCAAATTAGTCGTTTCTGTAATGAAAAACTGAGACAAAAAGTGTAACGACCCCCACCTTTTGAGCTCACATAACCACCACTTTCTGTCCACTTGATGTTTGTTTATTATTAAAATCTTCGACATCATTTCAATTTCTTCTCCTCTAACTTTGTGCGACGTTATTGAGTTTTGCACTACTCTAAAAATGTTATCAAAAATCCCCTTTTGACTTAATTCAGAATATATCGAACATTTCTTCTCCGCAAGAATACCAGTCATTGTAATAAACGAATTGTATAACGTGACTGGTACCTCTTGAGAAAAATCAATTCTGCTGTACAAGTTGGTTATCACATTTGTAAGTAATTTGTCGACCTTCTCGTTGGTATCGTCAACTTCAAGCTTGAGAAAAGAACAAATTAAGTCGACGGAATCTACTTGCGAAGATTTCAATCCAAACCCAATAAGGCCGACTGTCATGAATACAATCGAGTAGTTGTACAGACTAAAAAATCGAAAATCCTCTTTCAGTAGTTCAGTGAAGAATAAGACGACTCCACTCACGTCCACATTCTCCATTTGAAGGTCTTTTCCATAGACATCTATGTTATTGAGAATGTGAGCCATTCCATCCACATATTCTCTGTTACAAATTTGAGCTATTTCAGTGTTAGCAACAAGCGGCTCGACGATGCTCATTGCAACAGATACTGAATTGGTAAATTGGTTCTGGTTATATGTCGAGATGATTCTAAAAAACTCGACAACAGCGCTGCGTTCTTGTGACGACGACACAGACACCATTTGATCAAACGAGACGTTTAAAAGGACCGAGTCAATTTCAGGTATAGTGATCGTCAAATTGTAAAGCTCCGAAAGTGTTGAAGACACTGTTGTCAGAAAGTCTACTGTTTTTCTCGTTTTGAAACAGTTAACAATATGCTCCCAAAGTGTTACTATGTGTTTCTGTGATATCATAACACTTGTTTTGAGTAAAAAGAAAAGAGCTTTTGATGCGACGATATACGACCTTTGTGTGGATGGAAATGCGTTGTCTAATAATGAACACAAAAAGTGTGTGTACATCTTATAGAACCAAATTATTTGAAAGGGGGTTGTAACCTCCATCGACTTTTTCGTCGTGACAAAGGGCAATATAATTTCTACCAACGCAGTGTACTGGTTCAAGTTTTGTTTTGTATTTGATGATAACAAAATTTGAATGTGAAGTTCTTTACTGAGTTCTCCATCGCCTCGACGCATCGCAACTACACATTTCTCTTTGGTGGACTGGAGCCAAGTGTCAGTCCGACCATCACTTTCTGACATGTTGTATTTTTGAGTTTGACTCCTTAACACTTTTTTGGTCACTATTTATTTTAACTTTGTTGATACCCATATCATAATTTAACGATTAAATTACTCAATTGTTTAATTAACGAGTTTTTCTGAATATGTAAAATTACATGTAATAGTATTAAAAAGTTCTAAAAAATGATATCAAAATATTAAATACAACCAGCTCGTTAATTAAAATCATTGAAATACACAAATGTTTTTTATAATAAATTTATGATAAATTTATGATAAATAGATAGTAAATGACAATGGCAATAAAAAGCCATTTTTCCAGAGTTTTAGATGTGAACCCAAAAGAAGAAAAGGGTGTAAAATGATGGGGAACTTAAAAACGATAAATGTCGAATATAAAATATACCGAGTTACAAGACAAAGCGGATGTTGGCAAAGATAATACCAATGTAGAAGAAGTTGGCGTAGCAAGTACGCAAGAAGACGTTCAAGTCAACGTTAAAGGATCAACTATCCCACTCATTCTATTTGTCTTTGGATTCATGATGCCAATAGTGTGGATTGTGAATTATATTCTCTACAAACAAACGACATTCAAAAACGAAAAAATGTGGTCGACCGTATCACTCTACATGTTTTTGGTGTATTTTATCACATTCATCATTGTGTGTCTTCTCTATCTCCTGTTTTGCTAATAGTTTTTACACCCACTTTTTTATTATCAAGAAATTATTTATGTTTGGGGAAATTCTTAAAATAGACGACTCGTTGTTTTTTTGTTTAAAAATATCAACTTATTGTTTTGATTTTGGTTTTGAATTAATTAAAATATATACAACCAATCAACGTGCCAAGTTGGAATGTTCATTTTTTAATGAATGAATTTAAAAATAATTTGTTTGTATATTGGATGGTTTCTGATTATTATTAAAATTGCAACACTATTACTGATTACTCACTTGTGATGACAATTAACTATTTAACACTGGTTAAGTAAACTATATTGTTGGTATCAGTTGATTTTAAGTTAATAAACCCTGATACTTAAATTGTTTTTTTAGGGTTGACCAAATTAATGGAAAATAAAAACATATATTAATTATACTATAGAAAAATAATAAAATTAACAATAATTTGTGATTTGTTTTGGTGATATAAAAAACAGAAGAAAAAACTTCCAGTAATAAAACAAGGGCATTTATGTTAATTTATGCACCGCAGAACTGGTTAGTGGCGTAAGATGTATCAATAAACTTAACAAACATCGATTTTTGTATCATAAAATTATATTTTAAATTATAACTATCAATTAACTATATTACCTACTATATTTTAATTATCTAATTTTTAGATAGTAAAATAGAATAAAAAATGAAATTTGTTTTGAATAAAGAAAAACCATATAAACTTATTAATTATACTAATAACAAACATCTAATCAAATCCATAATTTTTTCATAACGAACGTTTATATACAATTTAAAAGAATATGATATCAAATCAAACAAATAGTTTAACTAATAATAAAAACTTGGTATAACAAAGTAAGTTGAAATATTACATTACTTTCCCGATAATTTGTCAGACCCTTCAGTGTCTATGATTTGAAGAGAAATCACATTAATTTCAATTACTAGTTGTAAATAGAGAGAACTCGTATTATAAATACAAGATGGAAGAAACCATCAATTCGCTGATATTGAAACAGTACGTCTTTGAGAGATATCTTGATAACAGGCAGTCCGCAGACCTTTATGTCTTAGACGAAGTCAAGAAAGTGTCTGCCGTTCAAGTCACTTTAAATGAAACGGTCGAGTCGTCATCCAAAACAATCGAACAGCTTCAAAAGGAAACACAACGCCTTACAACTGAAAACAACGCACTCAAACAAATGGTTGGTACACTCGAGTCACAAATAGCCGCAAAAACAAAAGCGGAGGTTGAGAGCTCAGATGCTATTAAGCACCTCACCGACCGTCTTGTCGCCTTAGAACAATTAGTCCATTCCCTTTCAACCACATCGACTTTTGGAGCCAAAGAAGTAACTCATGAAATAGTCAAAGAAAAGGCAAAGCCATTTGAGCATCATGAAGAACCTCACGTGGAACTCATCGAACCACAAAAGCCAACTGCCGTCGTTCAAGAACCGGAAAAGGTAGTTGTAAAGCCTTCAGAAAAAACGACGACGGCGACAGTAATCAGTGAACTTAAAAAAGAGGAAGAGCCAAAAGGCGTCGAAGAGATCTTAGACACGCCATTTGACAAAACAGTGATCGACGCAATCGAGAAAATGGCGGAGAAGAAAGTGGTGGACACCTTTTATAAAGGCACTGACGAGGGTTTTAGTGCAGAGGAGTTCAATCGATGTGTGGGATCCAACAAGAAGGTGTTAGTCATAGTGAAGACTACTAAAAACGACATATTTGGCGGGTATTGTTCCGAGTTTCCGATCGTCGACGACGTCGCGAAAGGGGTTTTTGGTGACAAGGAGCATTTTGTGTTTCGTGTGAAAGACGGGAAAGCCACCAAATACATGAAGCGTGACAATTCCTCATACTCGACTTGGGCCTTTCCTGATGATTCCGAGAACATTTTGTCGTTTGCTGGGGCCTTTGTCATCAGTGGAAATTGTAAAGCAAATGAGGAGAGTAGGATCTCTGGCAATTTTAGTCGAGATTATGTTGATAATGGGGAAAAGCTCTGCAGTACTCCAACATTTGCTGTAGACGAGATGGTCGCCCTTCAGATGAATTGATTGGCTTTAAATTTTTTGTGGTATTTTTAATTCAATCAAATTCAATTAATTAATTCATTATTAATATATTAATAATATATTATTATTAATTAATATATAATTATTTATTACCAATTAAATTAATTAATAATTATTTATTAAATTAATTAGTAATGAATTAATTATTCGGATTTGAATGCCTCAGAGTTCGGGATGAATGCATTCATGAAGCTTGCCTCATTCACGTTGTCGTTCCCAAAGAGTTGAGCGCAAATTGGTTTCAGAGTCATTCGTGTCAATATGAAGAAAAAGAAGATTGAGCATTCTTGCATATTCTCTCCCGGCAAGTTTCTATGAGTGACACGAGTGAAGAACCCAAATGGTTCGAAAGGGAGTATTCCGACTGGTTGTGGGTCGAAGAGATAATTGACGAGAATAGTAGAAACGATCATGATGACGACATTGAGGATCATTGGTTTGAATTTGATGAACGCGATCTTTTGGTTGATATCTTCCTTGTCTTTGTTCAATTTGTCGATTTTCTTCTTATTTTCGTACCCTCCGAGTTTTGCGACTAGTTGTTATACAATTCCTGAGTGCTATATTTTCCTCTAATTCCTTTATAAAAAATTTGATTGAAAACCCTCAAACGTTTTTCGTCGATTTTTTCTAAAGCATCGACGTAAGACAAATAATCCGTGTTACCTGTCACAAAATATTTTGTGATGTATTCAGAGAGAAGGGCACACAGAAACGAATACCCTGTGACTACCAGTTGGATAAACATGCAACTTCTTTTTTGAGTTTTAATTAACTTGTTTATTAAACTTCTTTTAATTAATAACAAAGAAAACAAGACAAAAAGACGGAAAACCTAAGTGGACCACAATAACTTGATTATTTCTTTGGCTGCAATTTCTTCTTAATTCTCAAATCAGCTGCATGTCCGCATTTTTTCTTTCGGCATGTGGTGGCTCTCAGCGGAAGTCTCGCATAACATCTTCTGCAGATCATCTTATCGCAGTTGTATTTTTTCGCAATGGCCTCGAGGGCTGGCTCTATTCCCATTTTTGACAACTGTATTTATAAGTTCCAGGGTTTCTGTTATCAACTCTCTCAAATCCTTATATAGTTCTTTTTATTAATCTTTTTAATTCTTTGGTTCCTAAGTAAGCGAAGGTGTTCTGGTGATGGAAGACCACCTTTATCTCTAACTTCAATATCATTTTAAATTAGCAATTCGTCAAATACATCCCATTGCACGGGCTGGTCGCCAGAAAGAATCACATTCTTGGGCTCCACTGAATGCATTTTGTACGTGAATAATGACTCAACTACACTCCACACTACAGCCATCTGCTCATCTATAGACACTTCACAAACATCGACTTCTTTACCTCCAGACGTCACTACAAACTTCTCGGTGCTGAGAGAAAAGTCAAGACCATCTGGTGGAGAGTCGATGATGTACGTCTTCCCTTGTAATTTCCCTTCAAAAATTTTGACATAAGTCTTGTCTTTAAATACCAGATATTTGAATCCGTCGTTCTCACTGTGAGGGTGTGACACTTCTACGGGCTTGTTCTCATACTGTTGAGACACTTTGTACTTCAAAGAGTCGACAATTCTGTGCATCTCATCCACTTTCCCTTCCAAGTCAGTCACTCTACAGTCTCTGATGTGTTCTTTATTGCTTTTATCTGCCGCGTAGTTTGTATCAGACCCATTGTTGTAGTAAAAGTTGTAATAGAAATTGGAGTTTTTGTTGAGTGGGATATTTGATGACGAGAAGTAGAGTTGGTTTGCGAGAAGTGTCATCGGAGGAGACAGAAGATTTTGCGAAGTCAGTCCGTAGAGCACAAGTCGGAACACCTTTCCAGTGTCTGAGAGTGCAATTTTATATAAAGTCGATGGACAGATCGTTTCGAAAAAGAAGTCGAGTGACTCTGGACTTTCTATGATCTTAGAATATGTCAATGCATCAAATGGGTTGACACCACCTTGTATCATTTGTTCGACTTTTTCACACAAAAGTACCAACGGGAGTGTAGTGATGTCGGTCATTTGTAAAAAGTCGCTCACCGACGAAATCACTGAAACGTCTGAAGTAGCAGGTTCGTTCTTCGCAATGCATTGTTCGAGAACAGTCCCTTGTGACCGGCGCTTTATTTCGTCTAACGTTATTTTTGTTGTTGATAGAATGAGTGAGGGATGGATTTGGATTTTATTCATTTATCTTTTTGAGTTGTTTGTATTGTTGATTGTGTTATTATTAATTCTAATATTATAATGACTTAATAATAATAATAATAATATTATCATTATTATATAATATTATTATTTTCAATAAAGTTGTATTTATATTAATTTAAATCTATTATTAGTGTGTCAAAATAAAATACTAAACTACAATTTATAATTTTTTATATTATTATAAAAAAAAAAAAAATTGGTTATTGAAATACTATTAATAATTAAAAAATATAGTTATTAACCATCTATTTTAAAATTGTATAAAACGAGAAAAAAACTTAAATTTAGAAGAAAAATCTTCGAAAAATTCCATACCAAATTAAAGAAAAAGTCAAAGATTGAATAAGAACTAAAGAACTTAGTATCATAGCCATTTCAAATGGATATAGAAGAGTTGTTTGTGAAGAAGACTGGATACAAAACATTAATTGAGAAAGCTATGACCGAAGGAGTTGGTGAGAGGTGCCGAGCTTTAGCGTGGCTTGTTTTTATGAAAATATTACCAAAGCAAATTTCGACGAGGTGGGGAGTACTACTGAATAAAAAGGTTTCTGAATATAAGAGGCTTAGAGAAGTGTTTGTTAGTGTGTCTTATTTGAATTAGGAAGTGACCACAAGACATTGGGAGTCGATTACAGAAAAAGAGCGACACATCATCCGAGGAGATCCATTGATAGAAAAGGAGAGTGAGGTCTACAAGAAGCAAGAAAACGTCAAATATCTGATTGAATTAGATATCAATCGACTTTATATGGACACTCCATTCTTTGATGAAAGTGTGAAACAGACCATAGAAAGGATTTGTTACATCTTTGCAATGGAACATGAGACACTGAGTTATCAACAAGGACAAAATGAATTAGTTGGCACCTTATACTTTGTGTTCTATAAGTCTTTTACGATGTTACAGAGCGAAGTTGGGACATTACAAAAAGACATTCAAGAGATAATGAAGGTCTTTTGTATCCACGAAAACATTGAAGTATTTGTATATGCGTTATTTGACAAACTCGGAGAAATGATGAGCGATGTCTACCAATTAAGAACGTCCGATATCAAAGACGAAGTTCTTCCCATTCAATTGAAGTGCGAGAGAATCATTGAAACAATTTCGTTCTATGATAAACAATTGGCGGACGTATTACAAGAAACTGAGTTGTTGAATGTCATCAGTTATCGATTCTATAAGGTCCTCTTTCTTAGAGATCTTGACTACGACCAAGTTCCACCACTTTGGGATGCCATTTTTGCATATGGAAATCACCTTGAGTTGGCCAATGGTATTTTTATAGCTATTTTACACAAAACACGGGATAACTTATTACCCACGGACGACTTACCAAGCGCACTGAGAGAAGTCACTCCACTCCCACATTTTGAGGATATTTATGAACTCATCAGAATAGCTGAAAATATATTACTCGGTGTATTTCCCAAAATCAATTGTTTTGATGACGATATAATACACAATGAATTAACAAAGACGAATAAAAAGAATAGACACCAATTCACTCAAAAAGAAAAGGTTTGTCAACTCGTTGCTTTCTCTCTACAAATATTCATTTGACTTTTAGAAGAAAACTACACAATCGGTCGACTTTGTGTTCGCTCCAATCTCACCGTCGACTCTTAAAGCAATCAAAACAAAACAAACGCCATTTTGGGTCGCTCCAAGTTCATTCTGCGAGTTACAAGCACACACAAAACACATCAAAAGTGTTGTCAACAAACTCATCTTATCTCTTCAAACGGAGAACAAGAAGTGTGTTGTTGATACTGTGGCTGTCAAAATATGTCTTTCGGCTCTCGAAGAGACACTAACTCCTGTAGACTAGACTCCACATTTATACTATCAATTCTATTTATACTTTGAATTATAGTTTCTGAGTAAACTCAAATTATAAGAAGTATAATATTAATAATTCTATATTTTCAAAACTATATATGTATAATAATAATACTATACTAAAGAGTAACTATAACTCGAGTAGAATTTTACAAGGCAATGACCAAACAACCAAATATTCTCAGCAACGAATTACGTTTAGAAAAGATCACCAAAACCACCGAAGTCCTCTTCGGCTTCCTCTTTCTTCTCTTCCTGAACTTCTTCCTTCTTCTCTTCTGTAGCTCCAGATGCGGCAACGGAGGCGACAGCGACTGGGGCGGATGACATATTCTCGAAGATTTTGTCAGCCAATGGGAACTTGACGCCGGTGGCCTTTGAGAAGCCGAGCAAAGCCTGGAAAGCGTTGAGCATGATGTGTGGGCAAGCTGCTTCTGTTGGGATGTTAGCAGCGAGTGAGACTGAAGTGACTGCTTGGACGCCTTGTTGGAAAGTCTTGACGATATCTGCGTCGGAGTAGTTCAAAGCGCTAGCTCCATAGACGACGCCATTGTCGTAAATAGTGTCGATGACGGCTCCGTATCTGAATGGGTTGATCTTCAACTTCTGCAACAACACGGCTTGTGAGACGCCGACCTTTTCGCCTTCCTTAATCAAAAGGGTGTTACCAATGATTTCGATCTGCCCCTTAGTAATCTTAGACTGAATGTTCAAAGCCTGAATGAAAGAAGTTTGAGTTGGGTCCAAACCAGTGTCACCAGCGGGGACAATGACATCATTTGGTGCAATGATACCAGCTTTAGCTGGAGATGGGCTCTTCAATTCGGCCAATTTATCCTTTAAGGCGTGGAGGTCTCCTTTAGTGAAGATGAATCCGACATTGCCCTTAATGTGTTCTAAGAGGAGTTCAAGTTCTGGGTGGGCCTCCATCTCCATCTTAATTGCTTTACGGATGAGGGTGTTCTTCCCCATCACAAACTCGCAAGTGCTTCTCAACTCCTTTCGGATGACCTGGAACTGGGAAGACCCGACGTTGTCCACACGTACAATAACGATCTCCTTGTACTCGTCAAAGTATTTCTTCATCTTGGCCAAGTAGTCGCTCTTCTTTTGCTTCTTTTGCTCTTTGCTGAGTCCTGCTTTGTGTGGAGCCATCACGATGTCCTCTCACATTTTTCAGTTTTCGTAGGGTTCTTCTAACTTTTTACTTCTTTTATTATACTTTTTACTATTCTTCTCCTTTTTTTGTAACACATATGATGTCTAGGGCTTATTTGGCCTATTTGGGCGGGAGGGCTTGGTATTATACCAATTTATTATTTATATTATAAATATACTATTTGTTGTATTTGAATAACAAACAATAGTTTATATATAGTTAAATTTGAAAAAATACAATAAAAGTGTATAGTAGTTGTAATAGTATTTTAATTATAAACACTTGGTTTGACGAGCAAGAAAAGATAAACAGAAAAAGGCACTTAAATTGAGGAAGACAATTACTTGGCGACTTCTTGTTTCTTGATTCTGGCATCACCGTTGAGGACTCTGATATTCAAGACTTTAGCTCTTGCGACGATTTCCATTCTTTTTTTGGCTGAGACAGCGTGGTGGATTTCAGCAGCGTAGGTTCTGTTTTGCATCATGATCATCTCAAGCTCGGTGGTGTTGTGGACGGTAAATTTGAACATACCGCATGGGAGCATGAATCTAGTCTTTTTGTCACTTCCATACCCGATGCGTGGCATTGGACCAGTGCCCTTATATCTTCTGCGCATTCTGTTATCAATACCTCTTGGGTGTCTCCATGAGGGCTTCACACGGAGGAAGCGGTTCGAGTCGAAGCGCTTGAAGTGTCCGCGATATTTCTTTACGATCTTTGGCTTCACAACTGGTCCGACCATCTGCACCAAAGTTGAACACTCTAAAAACCCTAATTTAATGGTTTAGACTTTACTACATTTTTACTATACTTTTACTATGTTTTTTTTCTTTTCTTTTTATTTAAACTGTTTTATTTAAATAGATTGTATTATAGTTTATTGGGTCACAATACGAAAATGAAATAATTTCATAAACAAAAGTAAAATTTGAATAAGAATTAATTATTTAAAATTACTTACAACCTTTGAAGTTTCTCTGTTTTTATGTAGTGTCTTATTTTTGAAACTATATAATATAATAACTTTTATCAATGTGTATACTATTATTGTTTTTTTCTTTTGAAAAAAAAACATGTATTCTATTGTTTTACTATATTCAACTATACTATATATAAGTTATATTTTAATTTAAATTAACAATTAATAAACCAGATTAAGTTATCCTAATCGCCCGTTTTTTTAAGTAATTAAAATAGAAATATTTCCAATATTTCAGTATATTTTAGGTTATTTATTTAAACCACTTTTTGTTAACTTTATTCACAGAATGCCTCGTCAAAGACAGAACACACACAACCCGAACACAAGTACAACAACTGCACCAACCCCAACCAGTGTTTTGAGATTTGTTGCACCCCGAATGCAGACAACACAACCAACAAGAATAGCCACCCAAAGAGAAAGACAAATTACCTCAAACTCTCTTAATACCACAGTGGCAACAAGAAGAGGAGCAACACATGTCGATATGGATATACGCCAGCAACAAATGACTTCTAATGAATCCAGAAGAAACTCAGAAACACATAACACACCACAACAACTCTCAAATACTCGGAGAAGAGATACAACTGATTACTTGCGTCATTTGAGATCCGAAGGTATGTTTGTTGCACAACCGCTCGTTGATGAAACAAGACAAAACTTTATTCAAAGAATATTATCCACACCCAATTTACTTAATCATCAAACTCCAAACCCACTCGACTTACACCTTGTTATGCCAGAAGCCACTGACCTTGTTGAAATAAATCTAAACAACATAAAGAGATTAACGGGTTTTCAGATAAAAGACTTTGTTGAGATACATGAAATTTTTAGTAGTTTGATGTGTAGATTCTCTTTTGATAATAACGGACACAATGTACGTGTTGCAACATGGTCTGATAAAAAGTATTCATCAGAAATTTTGAGACATTCAAAATCAAACAATTTAAAAACAAACGAAAATTTGTTGATTTTGATGACTCTATTACACACCAACAAATCTTATTTTGATATTTATTTGTGTTTGGGAATGAATAAAAAATTCAAAGATCGAGATTGGAGCATCAATTCAGAACAATCATTATTGGTGACCACCAGAGCTGAGTTAAGAGTTGAAAGGGCAATAGAAGATGCATTAAATTTGTTCACAGATAACGCCAGAGAACATTTAATGGTAAAGTTGGAAAATACAACAGAAATAACAAAAACGTTTGCAGAGACCTGTGAGGCTTCTTATAGTGAATGGATTCCCAATTTAAAAAAGTGTAGGTTTGCAGTAGATGGTAGAGATCAAAGGGTTAACAACTCTTCAAAAATCGTGGGTGGGAGGCTGTGTTGGAATGGTGTCTTTTTTAGTCAAAAGATTAACAAGAGTGCACTAAAAAGTGAAGCTTATTGCACTTCTCTGGGAATTGTTACAAAGCTGACAACGTGTATACCAGCTTCATTCCACGATGCAACTATTTTTAAAAATTTCAAAATGTGGTTGACTCAGCATAACGAATTTGTACTGGCTGACTCTGCGTATGGTTCAATTGAAAATGTAATTGGAATGTATAAATTCGACACAACTGATGATGAAATCACCCATGGTATAATAAAAATTCACAACAGCATAGTATCTTCTCTTAGAATTATAGTGGAAAACATGTTTGGGAGATTAGTTAGTTTATTTAAAATAATGCGAGAACCTTATTCGTTGAGTATAAACAAATATAACAATTTGACTACAATTTGTCATTGTTTATGTAACTATCATGTTCTTGCGTATCCATTAAGAGATGTTCATTTTTATTTAATTAATGAACGTTATTCTCTCCCAGGAGTAATAAGGCAGTTACCTCCACGAGTCATACAAGAACAACAAAGAATTGCTTAATTAATTCAAAACAATGATTGGACATTTGACGGAATAATTGGCGTTCAAGTTTAGTATTTAAACGGGCGATTAGGATAACTTAATCTGGTTTATTAATTGTTAATTTAAATTAAAATATAACTTATATATAGTATAGTTGAATATAGTAAAACAATAGAATACATGTTTTTTTTTCAAAAGAAAAAAACAATAATAGTATACACATTGATAAAAGTTATTATATTATATAGTTTCAAAAATAAGACACTACATAAAAACAGAGAAACTTCAAAGGTTGTAAGTAATTTTAAATAATTAATTCTTATTCAAATTTTACTTTTGTTTATGAAATTATTTCATTTTCGTATTGTGACCCATATTACTATGATTTGTTTTCATTAAAAATAGTATCTAATTCTAATTTTATTAAGGTAATAAAACTGTATTATAATTAATAATATTGCTATTAAATAGTTTTTATTTATTAATTGAAACAAAACATTAATACAAATAAATAATTTTTATCTAATACAACAATAGTTTTTAATTATTAGTTTTATCTTTTTAATAAAAATAAGTGATAATGAAACAACAACAAATCAAATAACAATTTAGCATAAGACAAATTTCAAACAAATAGTATAATTAACCAATAACAAATATTTATTTCACATGATCTTTGACATTGTTTAACACACTCTCGAGAACACAATCAAAGACCTCGCCGCGTGGCATTCTATCGTGTAGACTTGTGGACAAATAAAAATTCCACGAACCCATTTCCTTGTCGTGTTTTTCTTGTTCCTTTAGTTTTTCCTCTAATGTTTGTTTGTTTATTTCATTTGTTGACATATTATAATGATTAATAGTTTTAATTAAAAAATTTAATAATTATTTTTTATACCTTTTTTATTAATTAATTTACTTAATTGTTTTACTTATATGATAATTATTTATTATTATTTAATAATGGTTTCATATAGAATGGAATAATACATATAGTGTTATAAGTAATACTTAGAGATTACTATTCAATATAGTTTATCAACCCTCTAGTATATCTGACTTCTAAAGTTAATGTCACACCTACGAGCAACTCCCAACAAAGAAACAACACTCGCTGCCTTCAGATCAGAGTTTCAGTCGATGAGACATATGCGTCGAGAAGATGCCATGAAAGCGCGGCGCGCTTTTATCACGGACCCGATTGATAACATCCCAGTGTTTGACACGACAAGGGATGTTATTCAAATATGTGACCAGTTACTTAGTGGCAATCTAACTTTAATAGAACCGCTTAGGAAATGTCTTTGTGAGGACAGTGCGATTTGCGACATTTTGATACAGAAGAATGTGACACCATTTTTGTTGCTACAAATGAAGAACAACAATGACTATAAAATAGCAATGAATGTCCTGAGGTACTTTGTCGACTTTACAGCATTAAATAATGTATGTGCGGAGGCTACTGTAGCTTCAGGGTTCATCAATGTAGTACCCAATCTTGTTCAATCGAAAGACATTGGCCTGACTTATTACACCTTTTTGGTTCTTTCTAATTTGTGTTGCAACCCATCGACTAAATTGAAAGTGGCAGAGCTCAATGTCTTACAAATTGTGACAACCATTCAATCGATGATTTCAAACGAATATTTGAACGAAATTATGCTCTTTTTACTCAGAGAATTGTGTAACACCAACCCTATTTTAAACAAAGACTTCATTCAACCAATAACAGTGTTCTTCTTATCTGTGCTCGAACACGTGACTGAGAACTTTAACACAGACTTCTTATCAAACATCCTTTCTGGCTTGAGTTATATCTCTGGAAGTAAGTTATATCAACTTGTTGACAACACTCGCTTCTTTAAAGTGATATTGCCTTACTGCAAAGATGCAGAAGTTGCTACTCATGCTCTGACATTTGTTAATAACATTATCGCAAATGACGAGAATGCTGTGTTGCTTTTAATAAATTTGGGACTGTTTGAGTATTTAACAGAAGCTTTTGATACATTAGACAAATACACTTACATCTTGAAAGTGTTGTCTAATTTATCGACTTTCAGTCTCCCAGAAGTCCACAAAACACTGATCTCATCATCTTTGATTCCTCACGTCTTTGACCTTCTTCAAAATGGAAGTCTGAAAGACAACTCTTTACTTGAAGCTCATTGGACTATTGCAAATTATGTCTACACCAAAGACGAAGAGTCTTTGGCTTTCATTGTACAACATTATAAAGTGGTAGAGGTGTTGGCTATAATCATTCAAACGTATGTTGATAGCGATGCCATGAAACGTTGTGTTGCAATCGCTTTAATGGCTCTCATCAATGTTTTGAAATTCTCTGAAAAGGTCGACTTTGACCCATTGTCCATTCTCGACACTTTCTTCTTCGAAGACTTGCTCGAACAGTTGTCTGTTTGTTATTCTGTTTATTAGTTTTAGTAATAAATAATAATAATAATATTTTACTATAAAACATGATATCTGACAATCAGTCCAATTCAACTGATCGAACTGTGCAAAAGAGGAGTCAATATATTCTCGACCACTATTATATCTATGAGGACGATGAGATGTAAAAATATAGTTTATTTTTAATAAAATATGGGTTTATAAAAATGTTGATTAAATAATTAATTAATATTTAATTATAAATAATTATAAATAATTACTAATACAAGACAAATCAATTATTAGTTTTTATTAGTAAATCATAACTACCATTTTTTATAATTCAATACTAATAATTTAATATATTAAAATATTTACTAGAAACACTAGAAAATAAAAACAGTAGAGAAGAACCATTACCTTCCAGTAAATTACAACAAACAGAGAGTAAGTTGAATAATTTATTTCAAGATTGTATCGATTTTGTCTTTGAACTGTGCGATTTCTTTGAATTGAAAGAGCATTTTTTTGAGCAAATCGCCCAATTTCTTCTTGACGACTTTTTTGTTCTCTGGAGAGTTGTGTGTAACGCAGTACAAGAAGGTGATGATCTTTAACAACACGAATTGATCCTTAAAATTCTCAAGGAATGGTCTGACTTGCTCTAAAAACCCCAATTCCCTTGTTTGTTCTTTCACCTCATCTGCTAACGACAAATTTGCGAGTGCTCCGAAGGAGAGTTTGACAACTTCTATATCATCGGCATTTTGTTGAAGAGCGTAAATCACGGAATCTAACGCTCCAATAGAAAATAAACTCTCGCGAGACTCTTTAACTGCGGCAATGTTAATCAACGCACTCAAAGCCTTTAAACACGCTTCTATTCGCTCTTTGCTGGACAACGCAATCACTCGAACAACGTTCTGAACAACTTTACTCTGGAAAAGAGCAGTGTGCCATTTCTGAAACTTCGCGACACTCACAATGATGTTCATCGCTTTTTCGAGGATCTGGTTGTCATCGTAGTTGTATGAGATTCGTGCAATCCCTTCAAGGACTTTGGACTGTACTAACAGCTCAATTCCAGACTCTTTATTGATGAAGAATGTCAGCGCTATGAGAGTCTTGTCTATCAAACTATCCAACTCATACTTTCCTAAGATGTCTGGTATCAATCCAAATAACTGCGTTTCAACTAAAATCTCTCTTCCATGTTCACTCTTTGAAAACGCCGCTACACATCCCATCGCTAACGCACTAATCAAACTGTCTTTGTAATTCTCGATTAAGTCAACAGACAACAAAATGTAGTGATCACATAACAACTCCGCTGCGTCGGGGTCGACAATGATATTCATAAGTAGACCACACCCCTTTTCTACTAACGTGTCAACACCACTCAGCAATATTCGATCCAATATTTCTTCCAAATTCCATTTCAAAATGTACAACGTGAAATTCGCATTGACCGACATGTTGATGGCAGAGGTCAAAACAATTTCAGTGTTTTCAACCGAATGAATTGAAGCAAACAACGCTTTCACACACACCTCCGACATGATCTCTACAATCTCCCCGTCTTCAGGCATCTTACTCCATATGATCGAAATCACTTCAAACCCACACTTGAGCGCTTCCGGATACATCACAGAGTTTAACATACTCTTCCCAAACAACACAACCCACGACGGGTTCTCTTCGAGTTTTTTATTCATATTCTCGTCACAACAAATCGACCCCAAGTACCCATACAAATTCCGAGAAACATCTTCACTCAGCGGTTGAACCAATGTATCCGTCATCCACTTAATTCCTCCATTTGCAATCGACTCTTCAAGGCGCGTTTTGTCCATACTCGCTATGTTCACCACCGTCCAACAGATTTCCTGTATTTTTGGCGACTGATTACTCTGTGCCAATTTGAGTACTGCGGAGATGTCGAATTCTTCGAATGTGAAGAGGGAAGTGCACAGTACCAAAAAGTCCTCATCCTTTTCTGTTTGTAAAATTTCGACAAGTAAATTTCCATAGCTTGGAGTCGGTGACGATAACAACACATTAACAAGTCGCTTCTTCAATTTTTGCGATGAATTTGTTGTGATTTGTGTGAAGAATGGTACCTCTCCCAAGTCGTAAAGACTGTTCATATGGAAAAGTGCGTCGAAGAACCAGCAGAGTGCCTCGTCTGTGTACTTTTCCTTTGCCGTGCATTGTACAACGCTTTGAATGATGTTTTTACAATATTCCTCTGATAGCAGTCCCAAGTCGGTGACTCTCTCCAATAACAAAAAGCTTTCGAAAGAATGTTTTTGCAAGTTGTCGGTGATGACTCTAACAAAGACGTCCGGTTGAATTAAGTCACTTGACTCTCCACATAAAACTGCTCTAACAGTGCATAAGACAACTTCATTGGCTTGCGTCCGAAACACAGGCCGAAGTATTTGAAGAAATTTACGAAGGTCTGTTCCTGATGGCTTCTTTTGGTCGACGTAATATATAACGTCCTGTTGAAGTTCCGTTTTAGTTGGTAATTTGCTCAACTCGTCAAGAAGCTGTTCAAGTGGGAACGGCGGCTCCATACAATTGTTTTCAGTTTTTCAAGTTTCGTTTTGAACATAGAGATTTCCTGGTTTTGTCTTATAATTAATTTTTACTCGACGCCTTTTTATTTCACTGATTCATTTATTTAACATTATTATTTTTATTTTCGGTAATTAAATTAACGTATTTATTTTTCTTTTCAAGTCATTATAATTCTTTATTGATTGTGTAATATATTTAACGAGTTTTATAAATTTTTCCTTCATTTTCCTGTGTTAATTATTTACTATTCGTTAATAAATTTTAAATTTAAAGTAGATGAATTTAACATACAATTTTGGGTAATTGCTGATTAAAAAAAATATAGTTTTTTATTAATAACAACTAGTTTATGTATGTTATATATAAAAATAGAATCGAACGAAATACCAATGAAATATTGATTGATCACTTCTCATTCTTATCTTTTTTGAGAGACGAGACGATTTTGACCAAGTCGATAAATATTTCGAAAGCGTCAGAAAGTAAAATGAATGAGAGTGGGAACGGGTCGGTCTGTCCGTTTTCGATAAGAGCGATAATCTTTTGTGTGTCCATGAGTAAGACGATGACGTCCATTACAAATGTTAAAGAGAACAAAAAGAAGAGCGTTGTCATTCCCCAAGTAAACAAGAAGTAGATCGCAGAGACCAAATATAAGAATGAACATCCGACTAGTGCTACGCCATAAAAGACATACAAATTACGTGAGAAGAAAGCAGCTACGGTGACACCAACAAATATGGCTATAGTACATAACGCTACTAACACTATCTCTTTGTCGACAAGTTGATATCGTTGGCAATAATACCCACCAGAAAGCCCAATGCCAAAAGCAAAGAGTGAGATGTAGCACATCTTAAGGTTTGACGATGTGGTGCACAACATCATGAATGCGGAAATAAACGCCGCGACGCATATGGCGGCAGCAGCTATCGGGTTGATGTACTGAGAAAAGAATAGACCAGCGCCAAATGTGACAAACCCGGTGGACACAATCGCGTAAGTTTGAGTTAAAATTTTTGAAGTCTTAGCGTCGATATCTGAATTGACCATTAATCTGTGTTTTCAGTTCATTTATTGTTAGTATCTTTTTTACTATCATATTATATTTATTTTATTATTAATTAATACTAAAATTTATTAACTAATAAATTATAGTTTAATTAATCATATATTACTAGAATAAAATAGGTGAGTTTTTCTTTTAAACATCATTGTTATTTTTAGATAAAATAAAATCAAAAAAATTGGTTTTGACGGAACATTTTTTATTATTTATGAACCAAAAAAGTCGTTTTGATAGATAAAAATGTATAATAAAACACTTTTGGGAAAAAAATTGTTTTTTTGAAAAATAATCAACTCAATTCATTTAAAAAAAAAGTTTTATTAAAGTTTTTTATTTTTTTTTTACAATAAAAATCATTGATGAAGCTTTTTATTTATTTATTATTGATTTTATTCTAATTTCTAACATTAATTAATAACAATTAAATTTTTTTTTGATTTATAGTTCGATTTTTTATTTTTTGAATTATTGAAAAACTATATTTTTTTAATTATCAAAACTATTTTCAATAAATAGTTTTTTTAATTTTGATTTTATAATAAAATATAATAACAGTAAAATAATATTTTATATAATTAATTACAATAAATAGTATAAGAGTAACTATATATTTTAATAATTTTACAATTAAATTATTATTTATAAATAAAATTACAAATAATGATGTTTTTGTGTAATATAATAAAAAACAAATAAACAACAACACCAAATTAAACCATCGCTTCAAGAGAAGCAACCTTAGCAATAAGATCGTTAAGATATGCAATGAGTTGATTTATTTCTTGCGAAGTGTTTATATCGAAAAATTGATTTTTTGATGCTTCCTCTTGAAGTAATTCGATTTTGGATTTTGTTTCTTTAAGTTGGATATCTTCTTGAGAAATTTGGTTGTAGAGTAAGTCAGTTTGTTGAATTAGGTTAGCAAGATTTGCGGCTAAACTCTGTTGTTTTACTAATAAATCTTCAGTCATTAGAATATTTTGTTTAGAGTTCTTGAAAAAAACATCATTTAATACTTTTAAAAAGAGTTAAAACATTTGAGCTCAAAGTAAATAAAATCAAAATACAATCAATTCAAAAAGTTTTCTTTGACTTCATTTGGTGCTTCATCCATTGAATTCATGTAGTCAATATAAACCTGTTCAGCCTCAAGAAGTGGAAGTCCCAACCCATCTTTTGTGATTGTATCAAATGCGTTTCGTAATTCTTTTGTTACTTCAAATCGAATGTCATCACTGGATTTAGGTGCCCATACTGTGAATTCGTCCAAAAAAATAAAGCAAAGGTAGTGCTTCAATTCGTCCAACTTGAAAATTCTGTGGATCCGAAGCACCATTCGAACCAAAGTCGACTTTCCACCCTCAAAAATTGAAAGTGTTTCTTCAATAGCTTTTTTTGCAAGGTCATAATTTCTTACCAATGGATATGTAACTCCCCGTCTTACACAAGCACTCACCACTTCGTGTGCTGTTTCAATTTCCTTTTCGTCAATATTTATTTCAATAAACAGTGCAAAGTTAACAAACATCAAGATATGAAAGCACGGGGGCTAAAGTCGCAATAGTCCACGCAGATTCAACTGTGGTGTCTCCCATAACTATTTGATCATACACAAAACCAAATACAATTTGGAACAAATCTCTGAAAAGTTGCTTTTGTTCACCATCCTCCACAGCTACGTCCAAATGTGGTGTTTTGTTTGCTTCATCTTTTTCTTCATCCATCCATTCAGTTGTTTTCCATACAAACGAATTGTTGCCCATGACATCATCCATGTATTCCCATTCAAAAGTGTCTGAAATGTATCGATCTCTGTCAAAATTTTTGTTTTCATCTTCGACGCGCTGGTTATGACGATCATATTGTGTTGCAGTTTCGGGGTTGTTTACCATTACAATTTCCGCTGCTGATTGATTTAAATCGATAAAAACGCCGGAGTGACTCGAATTGAATCCATACTTCCCAATCGTCATTTTGATTGATTCATCTCTTTCTCTGATTATCTGGTCTTCCCCAAGTATCAAATCGTTTCGATCGAAAAAGTCGAGTTTTTCGTGGGGTTCCTCTTTTTCTGTTTTTTCTATTTTTTCCGCCCTTTTGGCCTCTATTTCTTTCATCTTTTGCAAATCTTCGGCAGTAAAATTGCGAAGCATTTCCTCCTGCCCTCCAAAAGTTTCCTGAGTTTTTTCAGACTCATTTTGGAGGGTTTCAAAGTCTGTGTTTTTACCAGTCACTTCCACCCGGCTCAAAACTTTCTTTTTTGTAAGAAAAAGTGGCAAAACATCCAAGTCAGGGAAGACCTCTCCTTTCGTTGCCTTAGGTATATAGACATGAAGTTTGCAGTCAAGACGATCAATTTCCGCCTTTTCAGAGCCATCTTTTGCTATTTCGTTGTTGAATGTGAGAGACAGGAAGTAAGGGTGTGAATGATACACCATTTGATTTCCATTGATTGCAACGTCCCCATTTCCAAATTGTTGGTAAGAAGGAATTGTAATGTGGACGATGACAAAGTCGTCGTTTTGAGTGAGGTTGAAGAAAGGGGTGATCATTTGAATTGAGAAACCCTACTTGATGCACGGAAACCCTAAAAACAAAAAAAATTGAAAACACTTAAAACAACAGTTAACGATTAAACTATAAAATATTAATATGTATACTATATAAATAAATGGTTTATTATTATCATATTTATATTATACGAAATAAAACTATTAATTATAATTGATAAATTATAAAATATTGAAATTTGTATAATAACTATTAAATAATAATTTAATTTATAAAAATAAAATTTGTTATTAACCATCCTTCTCTTAACATAGTTAAGTGAAATTAACCAGAACAAAGCTGTCACCTTGCTATTACTTATTGAAATTGATTTATTGTTACTTTTCATCACTTTCGAACATCAAATTGTAGTTTAGTATACTAAATTAATATAGAAAATTGTGATAGAATAAACTATAACAAAACAATGAATCACGATACTTGGTGTTGTTGATATAATTAGTTTGTTTTATAAACGTGCAATACTTTGATAAAACAGAAGAGTTATTATTCGCAGGTAAATAAGTGAAGGTGGAGTTTTCCAGTCTTTTCAAAGAGTAAAAACCACATTTTAACACCATTTGAAGTCATAGCGACACTCCATTAATAATTGATCTATTTTTACGTGTATAAAACTATCTTACATACCATAATACACAGTTTTTGTTAAATTAGATACCAAAAAGAGCGAAAACCAATAAAATCACTGAACGACTTGATAAGGTCAACAGACAAATCACAGAAGTGTACACTTTTTGTCTTTCTTGTCCTTTTTCTTGTCTTTTTTACCAGCCTCTTCACCTGCGCTTGGTGCGGCAGCCTGAGATGATGCTCTATTTTGTTTGATATCCTTCACAAGAGCAACGAAAGTCTCGCTAATATTGATTTTGTTTTTAGCAGAAGTCTCGAAGAAAAGAACCTTCCAGTCATCAGCCAACTTCTTCGCTTCTGTAGTTTGGACTTGTCTCTCGGACTCCAAATCGCACTTGTTCCCACAAAGAGCAATGGAGACGTGGTCAGTCGCCATATCCTTATCCAACACTCTATAAAGTTGTTCTCTGAATCCGTTCGCTTCAAGGAAAGAAGTTGTGGATGTGATGGAATAGACTATGACATATCCATCACCAGATCTCATGTACTGATCTCTCAAAGCAGAGTATTCTTCTTGACCGGCGGTATCGAGCTGTTGTGTTATTACAAATACAATTTACTATATCATATAGTTTATAAAACTATAAAAATAACAAACAAGGTCCAAGCCCACCATCTCACCATCGACTGAAATCGACGTTCTGTATGAATCTTCAATAGTCGGATCGTAAATCTGGACAAAGTGGCCAGAAACAAGTTGCACAGTGATAGCTGACTTCCCGACGGCACCTCCACCTTCTTCGTTAAACTATTTCAAATGGTTTTAATATTAGACATTTATAGTAAAATGGTTGAACCCATCAAGGGTCTAATAGATTGACAACAGAACGATGTGGCGATCAAAAAGCTACGAGAACTGTTGTCTGGGTTGAAAATAGAACAAACCTAACATGACAAGTTTAAAAGTTGTCCCACTTGACATATTCAATGAAATATTGAGTTCAAAATAAAAAGAAGAAAACAAAACATAAGAATTATTCGTTTTCAAATCAGTTCAGGGTTTTCTCGAGTTCGACGAAAAGGTGATGGCTTTTTATTATTTTTATAATACTTATTAATAATTCGTTTCTAAATTGAAATTGATGCAATAAACTATATTTTACTAGTAACATATAGTAAATTATTGTTTAAGAGTATTTATAAAACTATTTAGGTTTTTTTACAATAATTTTTTTTCCTTTGATTATAAAAGACAACTTTGATGTTTTATCTTAATAATTGGAATAATCTTCATTTTAAAGATGATTTTTTTAACAAAAAAGGATCAGATCTGCGATTCCGCACTGGCTGTGGGTCTCGACTACTTTTGAATCAACTTTCGTTCATTTGGGGAAAGAAATAATCATCACATCCATCTCTTATTATCTCCTAATTTATATATTATTATAATTATTGTTATTTTAAATTATGGGATTTTAATGGTATTTGTTTTGCTCAATTAAAAAAAACTTAACAAAAAATGAAAAAAAATGACAAGTTGTGATTTTGTTCGAACAAAATAATTAAGTATTATTGAAACTATAAAATATAATAAACAATTAACAAGAATAGTAAATTTAGTAAAGTAATAAAGTGAGAAGAAATGTCACAATCACTTTGAAAAACAAAAAGTGATTACAACTCAATTCACTTATGAGCAACACAGCCACTCAAGTACTTAACACTTTTGCATACTCCGCTCAAGTGACTTCTGTTGTTCTATTGACATCGTTTATCCGCACGATGACACAAGAGAGCTATTCCATCTCACTTTTGATACTTATTTCCGAAGCAACAAAATTTGTCTTGAGTGGATTGTTCTTACTCTTTGTCAAACACAAAGATGGGTTGTTTAAATATTATGTGGAGTTGTATAAGAATGTGCCCAAGTGCTTATTTGACGGACTCTTTCTCTTTTTTGAACTCTTTTTGACTCAATTTGCTTTGACAACAATACACCCCCTTTTATTTGTTGCACTCACAAATTGCTCATATGTATTCTTGGCACTTTCATCAATTCGAATTAGAAACAGAATCACACTTACTCAGTGGAGAGCTGTTGGTGGAATTGTTGTTTCGGTAGTAGCTGTAGTCAATGGTGCGTTCAATTTCTTACCATCAATTGGAAAATATGAAAAAATAGTTGGTGTTATATCCGCTCTTCTGGTTGCTGTAATTCGTACTCTTAAAGACGTTGCTGCGAAAAATAGTGAAGTCAAAGACAATGAAGTTCTTGAAAACAATTTCTTGACACCTATGATAACTGTGCCATGTTCTCTTATAGCTTTGGTCACTCTTGACCTTGGAACTTTAAAAACAAATGACGTGGTTTTTGGATACACATTAGGAACACTCGCACTATCATTGACATTATCAACATTCATCACTTCCTTCTTAGTTGTTATTCCAAGTGAGTCAACAAAACTCTTTGATGTATTTGCAATGTTGAGTGTGTTGGGGTGCCAATTCTTTGTTGTTAAATACGAATTCTCAATTGAGCTCACACTTGGTGTATTTGCATTGTGTATCTCACTTTTGAATTACAACGACACTAAGGCTAGTTCCAACTATCAAAACGAAATACTAACTCTCCCAGAGTGTGCACCAGCCGAAAGGAATGAAAGAGAAATCAATGTGGAAACTGTTGAAACAGAAGTTGTGACATTGGACGATTTGGCTTCTCCTGTATTAAATAAATTGGCCAACTTAAAGGAATTAGAAGAGTGATATAATTTGTTATTGTGATTTGTTGTTGGTTGGTTTTTATTTAATAAAACACCCATGTACTTCGTTTTATTTCTCTGTATTACCAATAATACTGATGGAATTTTGATTGTCAGTAAATAATAAAATAATTTGTATTACAAGTTTGTAATGTCAGTAAAATCTTAAAATTTTTTCTTTCATTCTTTTTTTTTGATTCGATTTGTATTACAATATGTGTATAAATTATATTACAAAATAATCATAATCAAAATAATCTATAATATACTATTACTATAATGTTACTATATAATACTATATTAAAAATTAACTTTTTTATTGAAATAAAGAAAGTTAATTTATTTATTTTGCACAAAGAAATAAAAAAAATATCGCGTGATTGTGATCTGTTTCGTGGAAACATTTGTATGTATTCATTGACATTAAATAAAAAATAGTAATTAATTTCCTTCTATCTAGTGACAATTCTTTATTATGTTAACCTTCGAAAAAGCATTTTTGAAATTATGAATTAACAATTCTATTTTTTCGAAAAAAAGTACAACTGATATAGTTTATTAACTATTTTATAATATATTTTTAATGTTTGAATAATTTAAGAAAAATGATATCCCAAATATTCAACATGAAAATAAAATGTGTTCTTAGGTGATCATTTTTATAGTTTTTTAATAATATATTTATAATTTAAAATATAAATATAATTAGTAATACATTTAAATAATAAATAATATAATATATATGTAATAATTTTAATAGTCGCTAAGCATCAGTTCTTCACATGTTTTTTATCATATAAAAATAATAAAAATTTGTTTTAAACATATGACCAGAACAAATCCTCTTCTTTTTAAAATGCCGAGATTTCAAAAGAACCCCATGAAGTGGTCCAAATGGCCCATGATTACCAAAACCTCAAGCACTTTTCCAACACTTATTTACCATCAACCTTTCCCAAAAGTGTTCCTTTACTATAAAAAAAAGTGTTCCAATGGAAATAAACGTCCGTTATAGAACTTCGTTACATTTTTGGTGAACATCTCTCCACAAATTTCACACAACTTCGAACCCTACAAAAAGGTTCTCGAAAATGAATAAACAGAATGAATCCACCACACGAAGTATACCTTGACAACAACGCAACAACTAAAGTCGACCCGGAAGTTCTTAAGGCTATGCTTCCATACTTTTGTGAGGTATACGGAAATCCAAACTCACTTCACACCTTTGGTCAAAAAGCGAGAAAGGCTGTCTCCGATGCTTTAGATTCGATTTACACTTGTTTGGGGGCCACTGATGATGACACGGTGTTGGTCACTTCCAACTCGACGGAAGGTAATAACACTGTTTTGAAGACCATTCTGTCCAATTACGAGACTGAAAAAGGCAAGCGCAACAAAATCATCGTCACACAAATTGAGCACCCCTCGATCTCTGAATCATCAAAATACCTTTCTAGCCATGGCATAGAAGTGGTTTCTCTTCCCGTGAACAACGAAGGAATAGTCGATGCAGAGATTTTGAAGAAGAACATTGACGAGAGAACAGCACTTGTCAGTTGTATGTGGGTGAACAACGAGACTGGGCTCATTCTTCCGATTAAGGAACTTTGCCAAATTGCGCACGACCACGGCGCTTATTTCCACACAGACGCCACACAGGCAGTTGGAAAAATCCGGACGAGAGTCGATGAAGTTCCCGTCGACTACATGACATTCACTGCTCACAAATTCCACGGACCAAAAGGTGTCGGGTGTTTGTTTATCAGAGCTGGAAGACCTATAATTCCATTGTTACACGGTGGAGAGCAAATGGGTGGCCTTAGAAGTGGAACTATTGATACCCCAAGTGTCGTCGGACTTGCTCTTGCCTTGAAGAAGGCATTTGAATACATCGACTATGAAAATTCGACGATTAAGAAGCTGAGAGACAAGCTTGAGAATGCACTGAGACTCATCCCAGACACTACCATTGTCGGAAAACCAGAGAACAGAGTGCCAAACACTATTTTGTGTGCTTTTAAGGGAGTCGAAGGGGAAGCGATGTTGTGGGATTTAAACAAACACGGGATTGCTGCTTCAACGGGGAGCGCATGCGCATCGGAGTCTCTCCAGGCCAATCCCACATTCCAAGCAATGCATATGGGGTCAGACTTATCACATACAGGTATTAGAATTTCATTGTCTCGATTTAACACGGAGGAAGAGATAGACTACACTATTGAAGTCATCAAGGAATCTGTCAAGAGACTGAGAGAGCTCTCGTCGACTTACTAATTGAGTTCTGTGTTCATCACATTCAACTTTGGTACTATACATATTCTAATTATCAACTAATAATAAAAGAACCAATAACGTCTAGTAAAAAAAGTTAATTGAGGAAGGACATGAAAGTAGAGAAGTCGGTGTTGGTTGTGCCTGCCACGTACCCGACAGAAATACAAAACTGCGCGAAGTAGTAAGTGAACATCACAACGAAGTGCATAAAAGGCGTGTTTTTGACCCAGAGTACAATGGAAAGGACCGCATCACTTATAACAAAAGATGAATACCCCATGATGATAAGTACTTTCGAGAGTGTCGTCCATTCCGTGTTAAGGAGCATTGTTGATGTGTAAAAGCCGAAACATATAATAGACATGTAGCCATACACTATTTTCCTCATAAAGCTTGGAAGAATCGAATAGTTTTTGACGACAGTCCAGAACAGTGCACACGTCAAGACAAAACTTGCAGCAAGTGGGTTAAATGTGAGTGGCTTAGAGTCAGTACATTATATTAGTCTTGAAGTTGTTCGTTTGAATATAAAAACCTTCTTCTTATTGTTATAGTATCATAATGGTAAATTAATAGTTTGGAATTAGTAATAAACAACAAACAGCAATGGTCAAGAAAAGTATGCCATTGAGAATATGAGTCAGAGCGAAAGAAGCCATACCAATAAGGAAAACATTTCCTTCAAATAAGAGAAGAAGGTCTCCTAAGAAAGAAAATATTAGACCAAACACCATGAGAAGTGATGGCTGAGGAAGGGAGGTGAAAACATATAAAGCACACAAGAGACAAAAAGGGCACTTTGTGAGCCGGATCATCAACTTGTTTTGGTTCAAAATTGAACCCAGGTGGATAACTGCGTTCACAATAAGAACAAAAAGAATGGTGTTGCTGATAATAACGCTGAAAACCATTTGGGTCAATAGTTCTGATTTTTGGGTATACCTGTTTCTTCTATATCTATTTCTTTCTTATTCTAAAATAAAAGGATACTTCAAATAATCGAAATTAAATGGGTTATTTTGAATTGTGGATGTGAAAATCAACATTATCTATTTTCATTATATAAGTCGAGAATTATTAAGTGTTAACTTTAATGAAAAAGTATTTGTTATTACTATTTTTATATAAAATTATATATCATTTAAATAAAGTTGATTTTCATAATAAATAAGTTTATTTTTAAGAAATAAAATTTGAATGAGAAACAATTTAAGTCACTTTTTTTATTTCTAATAAAAAATAATTATTGTTTATAATAAAAAGAAATTAAAATTTTATTTATTTTATTCAAATTGTTTTTCATGTTTCTTTTTCATTTTCGTTGGGTGTTTTTCTTTTTTCAAAATTATGTAATTATTTATATTGGAATAAAATATATGTATAAAAATACATAATAATGATATTTTTTTCCGTTAAATGAAATGTATTATTATGATATAATATATAATAATATATTGTAATAATATATTATATTATTATTATTATTAAATATTATATATTATTATAATAATAAACCAATTTTTTTTTAAACTATAATAACAATTAAAAATATAATAAATGTTAATATATTTTTTCACTTTTTTTAATATACTAAAAAACTATAATGAAATTAAATACATAGAAATTGTTAAACAGAGTTGTCTTTTCAACTGAATTATTAAACCACGTCTTTATGCCACCAAAGCGCAAACTAATTCCTCAAAAAGACGACGAGATAGAAGAAAAAATTTCACAAACAATTACCAAAACACAAGCCAAAGACGAGGAATTCGATGAAGACAACAAAGACTCTTCAATGAAAGTTCACGTCCCCAAAACGCGTACTAAAACACCGAAATCGACAACAAGCAAAACGACAACCCCAAAGAATTCGAAAAAACAAAATACTCAAGGTAGTGACGATGAAACGCCAATTAAAAAGTCTTTTGTTGACTTAATAAAACCAACAACACTCAAAAAGGTAGAAACGCCAAAAACATCGTTCAAAGAGTGTGTGGTGTTTTGTATGGGGACTGATGAAACCCTCAAGAAAAAAGTCAATTCAAAGGAGTTCAACCCGTTGACCACTGTGGTTGTATTGGGAGAGAAAAAGCTTCCCCAAGACATTCTCGAAAAGTGTAATACATCGGGCGTCCCAATTGTTTCCGTAGATTGGGTAGAAGCTTCACTCAAGTCTGGCAATTGTGAAGATTATACGAATTATGTGATTCCTATAGACAACATCGAAATCCAAGAAGTACGAAAGAGAGACGAGAAGAGTACAAACGATAAGTGTAAGAAGAAGCTATTAGCAATGTTCAGTTGATGATTTAATAGAGTTTTAGAGTTTAATAGTTAGTTAATAGTATATGAATAATAGAATAATTCAATCAACAACTCAGGTGAGTCATACAATAGTACCCTTTTCGATACACAACTGTCGTAACCGAAGCGTTGCAAACACCAAGTTGGTGATACATTCTGTCAGGAAACTCTAAAATGCCAACAAGAGCACATTTTATCCAAGTCCCATGGGATACCAGCATCACTGTTTTGTTTTCATATGTTTGAACAAGTGAATTGAGAAACCCTAAAATCGTTTGAGAAAGAGTGTGGACGGTATTACCAGCGTCCCCAAGAGGAATACCATTTGTACACTCTACAAACTCCTTTGCACTCATGTCTCCTATGGAATTGAACTCTTTGCCTTCCCAACTTCCAAAATTTGGCTCGATTAAATCTTGTGATATTACCACTTCTTTACCTTCACTTATTATGTTTGCGGTCTCAAGAGCACGTTTAAGTGGGGAGGTATAGATCACATCAACATTCTCAGGTATCCTCTTTGACAACTCGAAGGCTTGCTGTCGACCTTTTTCAGAGAGTGGGATGTCTGTGCATCCCTGAATCACCTTTTTATTGTTCCACTCCGTTTCACCATGTCGAACAAAGATGAGTGTTGTTGTCATTATGTTTGAGTGCTTTTCAAATTCCTTTTCAGTAGCCAACTTAAAAGGAATTTTATAACTTAAATCAAACTATGGAATTGGTCTAAAAATAAAACTCGAGTCACTCATTTATCCATTTAAATTGATCCTCCGCGTCTTTCACATAATTCGCAAGAGCTCCACTTTTGTTCATCTCTTCAACACTCTTGATGAACGCAGAGACGTTCCCATCGGCATAAGAAAGGGTTGTATCATCCATTGAATCGCTGAATATACAATGTCCTCCTCGTTGAGTATATGATGTGATGACAAATGGACTGAACCCTGAAATCGCCTTAACTCTCAAATATGAATAACTTTGATCGTTGCAAACTGGGTCATCGAATGAATTGATTGTGAAAGTCGGTATTTCTATTCGTAAGCATTGTATTGTTAAACTAGTAGAACACAAACTATTCTATTAGTTTGTGTTCTTACTATATATTACTATATATAACTATAAAACAAACTAGTGCATGGTAAGTTCTGGAACCATTGTTCAGCGTCCCAATGATAAGCCTCAACACTTTTATACCCAAACATTGGGGTGATCACTTTCTGCTCCAATTGAGTCAAATTGATGTCTTTGATATCGTCGAGGTCGTACACCTTTTTGTTGTCAACAACGACGTTCTCAAACAATTCTTTGTTGTTTGTAATGATGTCAACGTACTCCCCGGCTAACTTCTTTGAGTACAAATCTGGTATATCTAAAGCAGACAATCCCCATGGAACACATACACCAGCACAACTATTGACGTTGTACTGAAGTAACTCACTTGAGTATTGATACGACAGTCGAACAACTTGTGATGCCCCAAGAGAGTATCCAACGACATTAACATATGCATTTGGATACTTTTGATGTAACACCTTGACGGCGTCATGAATGTCTTCACAATTGAGTGCATTGTATATCTTTGGTGTTTTCAAAGGAAGTCCAGACAATCCTCTTTTAATAAGAACAATGGGTCGGAACCCTTCGTCACTGAACTTTTTGACTGCTTTCTTGATGTACAAACTTTTTGTGTCACCAACTGCACCAGGCACTAATAAAACTACCGAGGCAGTGTCTGGAATATCATTGTCTAAGATATCTAACCCACACACGCCACCATCAATGCAATTAACAACTACACGAGTATATGAGAACGAATAGGGAGATGGGCGTTGAGAGGTGTATGTAGTCAATAAATGGCCCGAGAGCACTTTAAGAGGGCATTTGTAGGGTTCCTGTAGCTTTGGCGTTTTCTGGATTAAAGTTGCCGAGAACGGCGACTGTTTCATATAGTACATATGTGGGAAGTCATCGGTAGCAATAAAGAGTGAGAGAATGAAAACAAGAAGAGGGGCGATAACTATGAAGAAAGGGATATGGTTGTATATACTAAATACTACAAACACGACATAGCTTGTGAAATAATAATACGGACGATTGTGTCGCATTGCTAACAAAAGTGTTTGAACTTGAGCGACAAGTGATGCCAAATAGAACTGAAGAAGCATCCCAATCTTCATAGCTCACAATCGGTATTATTCAGTTTTTTACATTTTTCGATTTACAAGTAGTTTTCATCACCCAAAACCAAACACCACGACAACTTTTGTCAGTTTTTGGTACCAAATGATTTGTTAATATAAAAAGATATTAAAAAAAATCAATTCAAATTATTTTCTATTGTTTTGTATATAAACGTGGAAACAATTGTTTTCAATTATTTCGGCTTATTGAAATAATTGTTTTATTTATTTCGAGTTTTTTTCTAATATATGTACTAATATTATAATAATATATAAGTACTATATATTATAATTATATTATAATAATAATATAATAATTATTAAAAAAACAGATTGTGTTAATGGCTGTTCGACGACTTTACAGTTTTTTTAAAAATCGCCGACTTTTCAATGTCTTAAAAGACCTAAATATTTAGTTAAATAATTATTCAAAATACCATTTATCATGTAAAAGATATTGAAAAAAATAAACCATATAAATTTAATATAATTATTATTAAAAAAAGAAATGAAAAAATACCGTCCCAATTATATCTTCTCAAATCATTTTTTAAATTATATTTATATGATTATAATATAACAAATTATAACAACTATTGTGTTTTTACACATTTTTGAGACTATAATGAATATGGTATAATTTATTAAAGTTAATAGTTATTTAGTTCTAAAAGAAGTCGGCGACTTTTGAAGGGACTCAAAAAGTCGCCGACTTCTCAGTAATAACAAAAGTCGCCGAACAGCCATAAGATTTTCATGATTTGAATAATTTTTTTTTTACTAGAAATTTATTATTAAATAAACTAGAAATAACACATTTACTTTTCCTCTTTTTCTTTCTCGAATTTTTCGTCTTGGAGCACTTTAGTGTCAGCAAGCAATTTATAGTTGATTCCATTGAAAGCATGTTCAAGCACGGCAGCTTCTCGTTCGGTAAGTACGACCCTTCCTAATATTTTTTTCATCACATCAATTGACCCATTGTCTTTCCTATCACCGAAAGACAACTTAACGATGTGTTCCCATTTACTCGCTAAGTCGATTTTTGCAGCAACAACTTTCTCTTTACACTCGGACGGTACCATCTCTCCTGCATCTCTCAATTTTAAGTGGAAGTATGACAGTCCGATACTCACTGCATGACTTAAATTGAGAACGGGGTAACTTGTCTGAATATCAATTTTATTGAGGAGGTCACACGCTTCAGCCTCTTCTGAATTCAGTCCGTTTGATTCATTTCCAAACACTAGCCCGACGTCGCCTTGCATTGTTTTCAAAATTTCGCACGTCTCTTGATATTTAATGAGAACACGCTTGTTTTTGGTATTTCCTTTACCCTCACGTGCAGTGAACCCAATAAGAAATCCGCACTCCTGCTTCACATCAGTCAAGTTATTATAAATTTTCAAATGTTCAATGTAACTCTTCCCATGTCTTGATATCTTCATCGTTTCTTCGCCAATTTTACACTCGGGGTTGACAACATAAAGAGCTTTGACATCAAAGTTGGCACAAAGTCGACCAATGGCACCAATGTTCTCTTCATGCATCGGACGAACTAAAACAACACTCACTTGAATGTCGCCAAATGAACGCAAGTTCTTCACTTCAGCCTTTGGGGCTGTCATCTTCATTTCACCGACTCGAAAAGTGTACCCACCCATGTCCTTTTGTTCAAACATTTCTATCGCCTTTTTACATGACGAAGAGTCCGTGAAAATGATGTGACAGAATGTAATCCATTTATGAAATATTTCCGCTGATTCAATTTGTCCGCAGACGCTAAAAATGCTTTTGAGTGCGTCGCAAGTAAAATCAGTGGGAAATCCACCAACATAAACTTTACCGGGGTGTGGTGTTGTGATTGACTCACTTGAAATCGACATCAAATAATTTAGACATTTGAAATAACCCTTTTCAATTTCTGTGTCTATTTTTTAATTTCTTTTTATTTACATTTTAATTTCATTGATAGATAGAAATTTGGATTCAGTTTTGAGTTTTTCATATTTTTGTTATCGTTCAGAAAAAAAAATTTTCACTGTTTACTAAGTTGTAAATAGATTGTTGAGTTGAACAAAATATGATTTTTGGAATTGACTTTATTTTGAAGTTTGAATAGTTACTATTTGTTATAATTAAGTTATAATAATTATTTTCTATAACAAATATTCTTAAATTTTAAATTAGAAATATTTTAATAATAATTTTATAATAATTACTAATAATATTATAACAATTTAATAATAAATATAACACTAGAATATAAATAGATTGATTCAGTAGTTTAATGTATAATTAAAGTTATAATTTGTATAATAAATTTATTTATCTATAATAAATTAAAAGTAATACAATTTGGACAATTTAAAAAAAAAGTCTAAATAATTGAAAGAACTTTGCTTGTTTTTTCAAGCCTGATATAAATTTATTTGTTTTAAAGATAGTAATTTAATTATAAAACAACCATTTTTGAACAAAACACATGTAAAATAACATACAAAAATCTCGTCGTTGCAGTACACTTTTTTTTGGTACAACGAAAAGGATTAAAAAAAAGTGTTAAAACCAAATAGCTTCTCGTCCAAGAGTTTATCCATTCAAAAAAATTGACAAACTAAAACCTCTTAGAAACAAAACGACATATGACACAACAACAAGAACAACAAGACGAATACTTTGGCAATGTTAGACTCACTGTTTGTTATATTCCCATTAGTAAATTTCTCACAAGTAGAAAGATGATGTATTACACGACCAAGAGGAGTACCTCATTTCTGTAAAAAACATTCACAAAACCTATTTACTTGGTGTAGAGGGTGTTGCTGCTCTCAGGTTTGCCATGTTTAAAACCTTTTTGTCTTCAAATAGTAACAAGAAGAGGTGTGAGTATCTCCGTGAAAAGAGGGGAATATGTGTGCATCTACGGAACAAGTGGAGGTGGAAAGACCACCCTTTTAAACCTAATTGGGACCATCGACAAACCGTCCAAAGGAGAGATATACATCTGTGACAAACGCATCGGCGAGAACTCCAAAGACCGCCTCTTGAGCTATCTCCGTCTCGAGAAAATTGGCTTTGTGTTCCAAACGTTTAACTTAATAACATCGATGAACGCAATTGAAAACGTCGAGCTTCCGATGATTCTTTTAGGCAAATTATCTGCTAAAGAGCGTCACGAGAGGGCATTGATGTTACTCAACAAAGTAGGGATGGGCGAGAGAGTAAAGCACAAACCATCGCAAATGTCTGGCGGTGAACAACAACGTGTAACCATTGCAAGGGCTTTAGCCAATGAGCCCGAATTATTATTACTAGATGAACCGACTGGGGACTTGGATTCATACAACACTGCAATGGTCATTAAATTGTTACTTCAATTACATAGCGAAGGACTGACGTTATTGATGGTGACACATGACGTCTCATTGAAAAACTTAGCGGATCGAGTCGTTTGGATGAGAGACGGAAAAGTCGGTAAAATCGAGAATATGGACCCAGTGAAGAGAAAAGAGGCACTTGATGTTATCGATCAGAAATTCGAACTGAAAAGAATCGTCGTTGAAAAAGACCAAACGTCTATCACGGAGTACAGAGAACCAAATGACTATCCACCTGTGAAATTCCAAGACGAATTAAATAATTGATTTTTAGTTTAAAATTGGTATAGTTTTTAATACAACATGTTTTTATATTTTAATTTGTTATAAATTAAAATAAAATAGATTGTTTTTGGGTAAATTGGAATAAATTTAAAAAGACAATCGCGTCACTATAATTGCGCAGTCATTCACAAACTACTTAAAATGTCAGAAAACAGCTTGATTGCTATTTAACACTTACAAGCCAACCGCGAAAACAACAATTTATTTATTATTTATTATTTTTCTTCGATTTTTGGAAACGTTTTAATTTAATTATAAACAGTTTAATCACTGTTTTCATCAACAAAACAGTTTTTTTCAAAAAATGTAATATTCAAAAAAAGATTTGTATGATTAAAAAATGATATACTTTTTTAATTAAATCAGTTATCTATTATATTTTATTTTAAAAATTAAGAGACACCATAGTTGTTTTTATATGTTAATCACACTCATTATTGTTAAACATATCACTTTTTAAATTAACACTCGCTATATATACATAGAATAAACAATGAAAACAACAAAGATAACACAATTATTAAAATGTATTTGTTTTAAGTTATTGTTGTCTATTCAATTTTTATCATAATAATAATTATGATTGACTATCGAGAAATTTGGGTAATAAAACGTTAATGCCATAATGATAACGAAATCCAAAAACACATGATTGTGTGAACATATAGTGTAAAAATAATTAATGTCTTTAAATGTGATTATTATCCATCCAACTTTGTTGTAAAGTTTCAATTATAATCTTCTTCATTAAACATTTAATTATGTAATTCCAATTTACAAATAAAAATCATTTATGTAATCACAATGATGGCGTGGATGAGACCTGGTAGGTACAAGATGATAGTCAAAAGTAAATTGATGAGAAAGTCGCACCCACATCCCTTCTTCAGAAGAACAGCGAGTGGTGGGAGAAATATCGCAATGATAATCAGTGAGAGTGTTGAGCAGCCCATTATGTCGAATGGGACTTGAGTTTCGAAAATACCTTAAGTATCATAGAATGGATCTTTTGTCTTAGTTTCCATAAACAAAGGAAACAATCATATTGGTTCTCTTTATATTTCAATCAACTAATCAATTATTTAAAAAATTATAGTACATAATTTAAAAATGAACCAATAAAAAATACAAATTATTATGATAATAATATTATTACTTATAAATTATTTATTTGATTTGTAATTTATTTTTAAAACAAATATTGAAATGGTAAAATTATTATTATTTATCCAAATAATATTTAAAAAAAGATATATTTATATTTTTAGAATAGAATCTAAAAGTTTTTTATCAAAAATATATATAATAATTAATAAAAATATAATACTATGTTATAATTTACCAACTTTTTTATTATTTTAAGTTCAAGTTAATTACTTCAAATTATAATAAATATTACTATTTATTACTAAATATGAAAAACTTTTCTAAAATTCACAACTTTTTTAGTAAAAAAGTAATTCTAAAAATACAACAAATATTTGATATTAAAATAAAACTATATAAAAAACCATTTTGATTTTTCTCGTAAATCCATATAAAAATGGTATAGAAGCTATTAGTGAATAAAAAAGAATGTGTCGTCTTATGAACCGAAGAAAATGTACAAAACACTGTTTTACACCACAGAAGCAGGCGCAAGGCACTCGGGACCCATTGGTATTTGTTCGACACGAATAGCATTTATTGGGCAGTTGCTTTCACATAAATGGCAGCGAAGGCATTCCTCGATGTTTGGTGCCGTACACATCCCATCAACAACAACAAGGACTCCTGCGGGACAATTGTCCATACACGCAGTGCATCCAATACAGTCTTCGGTAACAGTGATCCTTTTGTCTTTGAACTGAAACACGCGCATGGTTGTCTTATGATTTTGGCAGTTCTCTTCTATTTTTTGCTTTTGTTTTTCAAACACTTCGACCTTTTTTTCATATCATAGATGTTTATATCCTTTTGTGTTAATTCGAGTTGGTTATCAAAGACTTTGGAATATATCTTTCTAATACATTTAATCACTTACAGACCATTTAAACGTTGAATATTGAACAAAACAACATCAACCCACATACTCCACCTTAATCGAAATTATTAATTATACGCGTATAATTATTTTTACTATATTTTGGAATTTGTTATTATAAACCCAATGTTTTGAATTCAATGGTTCTTCAACAAAAATGTTCACATCATCCATTATTTGTTTGCCCAAATCACCCGTTTTGTGTGTATTTATTAATATCGTTTTCAAAAAAATATAACCCTTTCGGTCTTTTTATTATATTTGTTTTATATTAAAAAGAATAATACTTTATAGAAGTTCAAACTAAAGTCTGTTTTCTATTTAACAATAATCTAAAAATATAACAAAGAAAAGAACTAGACCGAAAATATTAAACTATAATTTACTATACTCAATATTACTAATTAAAAACCATTAACTATTAATAAAATTGTTATTAATTTAAACTAATGATAAACAAATCCTGAGCATTGACTTTTTTCCAAATCACTTGTTGTCGTCTTCAATATGACCCAAATGATAATTTGACATGTCTATTCTATCTAATATGACATTTATTAATTTTGAATAATCCACTTGACATAGTTTATTTCGTCGTATTCAAATTTCAACACCAAGTTATCATTCGTTTTGGCTTGATAAATTTTTTTGTTGTCAAGCAATTTTGTTTTTTGTTTTTTTAAGCAAATTTTTATAAAAAAAGAACAAAAAATAAAATACAAGCCATTTTTTTGAAAAACAACTTTATTTTTATTATAAATTATAATACTGTTATTATAAATAGTATTAAAAATCCAATATCGTTAAATAGAAAACAGACTATATCTTTAGTAAAATTGACAAATAATATTAGAGTTATTATAATAAATTACTATCAATCAATAATTTAGTTTGAATAAAAAAATTAAATAAAAAAAATAATTAAATTAAATAAGATTAATATAACCGCCATATTATGACGGAAAGATTGATAAGCTTTTTATAACTATAAATTATTATAATTATAATCATTTAAATAACTATAATCAATTAACTGATTTTTTTAATTTCGACATTATAAAAAATATTATTACAATAATAATAAACAATTGTTATTAAAAACTTAATAATTCAATGTTTAGTCGTGAACATGGTACTGTTGTGTTATTTCTTCGAAGGCAAGTTCGAGTTTCTTCTCCTCAATAAGTTCTTCTTCTGACTCTTTGAGCGACTCTTTGAGCGCAGGACTTAATACTAAGTCGTCAACGACGTGATACTCTCCACCACAACACACAACTGGCATTGAAAAGAAAATTCCTTTTGGGACGTCGTACTGTCCTTCGCTGTATATTCCCATACACACGACTTTTTCCGTGTCTGTGCCCAAACACCAATCTTTGAAATGGTCAACAATGGCCTTTGCGGCAGAAGCGGCCGAAGAAGCTTTACGAGCTTCAATCACCTTAGAGCCACGCTCGCGAACGATTTTATTGAACGACTCGAGCCATGACGCCTCGACTAGATCTTCGACTTTTTTCTCACCTTCGCTTGTCTCGATGTACGCATGACTGATATCTGGACACTGCTTCTCAGAGTGATTTCCCCATACAAAGACGTGTTTAACAGTTGCAATTGGTACATTACACTTCTGTGCTATTTGTGCGATGGCTCTGTTCTGGTCGAGTCTTGTCAGACACGTGATTTGCTTCACATCGATTCCAGCGTTGTTTGCGACGACAAGTGCATTTGTGTTTGCTGGATTGGCAACGACAAGAACTCGCACTTGATGACTCGAGTAAGCTTTGAGAGCAAGAGCTTGCTCCTTCATAATACGCGTATTGATACTTATAAGCTCTTTACGCTCCATCCCAACCTTTCGTGGCATACCAGCAACTAAAATGGCCACTTCAACGCCCGTAAAAGCAACATCAGTCTTGTTGGACGCCACTATTCCTTTCACTAATGGGAAACACCCGTCAGTCAATTCCATTTTCACGCCTTCCATCATTTCAACCATAACATCATATAAGTGCAATATCACCGTTTGATGCTCGCCAAACATGAGGCCGTTGGCTATGAGAAACGTCAAGTTGTAACCAATCTGACCAGCAGCACCAGTCACTAAGACGTGAATTGGGACAGACTCCTTTTTGGGGTCGGTGTTAATCCTTTCCCAGTACTGTGATATACCTCTGCAGAACTTTGCCATTGTCTTTTGTCAGTTCTGTGAGTTGGGTTATTACTGCGTACGCGTTTACCACAGTCATTGCAGTTTTATTACCTTTGGACTAAACTGCGAAGAGTCAATTTATAATAATTGGTTGGTATAAAGTATTATATGTATAACGTTTGGTTGCCCAAATTTGTTACAGAGTAGTTTTTAGTCTAGAAACGTGATTTTTGTAATGGTAGTCTTTTTGTGTGGAGAAGTTAAACATTGCCATTTTTAATCGAACGAAAAGAGATGGATGTTTTTTTTTGCTTGGGAGACTCAAGTGGTTTTTATCTTAACAACTTTAGTTTTGAATCATTTTCCGTTATAATTAAAACTATCTGTATCTAACTGGGATGTTTTTGTGGAGACTGGTGGGAAGAAATAAAATAGTACTCTTCACAAAATTTCTGAAAAGAGAAACACGTCACTTGTTCTATAATTGGATTGATCATTTCTTTAATGGTTATTTCTTAGTTTAAATATTATATCATTTAACTAACTATAACCAATAATTTTGTTATAATTTAATTATAATATTACATTAATTTGTTTACTTGTTTTATTAGTTAAAAATTATATTAAAAATTTACTATCATCAGTGATTTAAATTAAATCATTTAAATTTATATATTTTTATTAGAGTAAATTAATAAATATTTATAATATTAAAACTAAATATAATAAAACTAACATGAAAATATTATTTTTAAATAAATTTATTTAAAGATCAAGTCAGATTTTCATCTGATTGATCTTTAATTAACTTATTTTAACAATTTCAACAATTCAAATTGAAAAATCAATTTTTTTACAAATTATGAAAAACATTTTAAAAATAATTTTAACACATTTTATTTTTTTATTTAAAAAATGATATAATATTTATATATAATATAATATGATACATTATTTTTTGTCCAATAACATTAAGTCGCACGTAAACTAAATATATAATACATATTACAATAATTCAACTACAATCATTCTTTTCACAAAACACATTGATTCGTTGTTTTGGTTGTTAGAATTTGGAATGAAACTCATTCTGATTGGGACGTCAATCATTTCTCTCACGTTTTTGTTTCCGACGTTGTTGATTGCTGACCTTTTAATGACGCAATTTGATGTTTCAAAAAGAGATTGTGATGAATACATAAACACAGGGACTCCCTTTGATTTAAATGACGCATTTTTCCAGTTCCAGAAGAGTGGATTTGCCACTCCGTTATACACAAAAGAGCAAGTGAGTGTTTTGTAAGACACTCCATTCTTTCCATTGACAAGTCTGAATTGTCCAAGGACATCATTTTTCGAGTCAAAGAAGAGTAATAAAACGTCTCTTTGTTTTGTGTAGTCGTTAATGACTTTTTGATTGAATGGGGTCATATCAGTGTCAAACAAGACTTCCATCTCAGTCTTCCCGGTCCATTCATAGACCTTCTCTTTGAAGACACTGAAGTTCTTTTCACTATCGGAAGATGTCGAGGCGTTGTTTCCCATTCGTTGTGTATTGAAAAGACGGAGATCGCTTAAATAGTGTGGTGAGTATATTTAGCCATGTTGTATTCGAACTTTACCAAAAAATGGTGCTTTCTGTTTCTCTTTGTTCCGCCACTTTTTTGCGCTGGTGCATTTTTGGCTCATCTGTTTTTTTCTTTTTTTTTCTATTCTTTTTCGTGAGTGCATAGACGCCCACTTTTTTACATCAAATGTCGCTGTTGTAATGGGGGATGTGGTAAATCTATTTTTTAATCCGAGTTTCTCATTGTCTGTGGTTTGCGGTGATATTCCCGAAATATTGTTTGTTTTTAATACTAAAGTGGCGGAACAAACGTGGTTTATTAATATACAAATTGTCTCGTTTTTTTATTTCGTTTGTTTTTTTATTTGTTATCTTATTATGACATTTTAAACCATTCTTATTAATTTTATAATCAATTGTTTTTTAGTTTATTTAATCGTATGTAAAGAACGTGGTTTTGAGATTTGCTATTTCTACATGCTAGTTTAATTATACCATGTTTCTCATTTTGAACGGCATTCTAAATATATAATCTCAATTGATTTATTAAAACAATGATTTTTTTAACCATAAAATAATTATTTTTTTTTTCATAAGAAGAGCTGATTTATTACCATATCAAACACATTTTTGAAACAGATGGAATAAAAATACTAATAAGAATATTCTTGTTTAATAGAAAAGGAAGTGCCAAATAAAAGACGAAACTCACCATTTTTTTAATACCAATCAATTATCCCATTATTTTATTGATAACAACTTATTATTATATTGATTTAATAATAATAAACCAACAGCCTTCTAATGCCGTGAATATATTTTTTGTATTTATAGATCATTAACAATCCAATCTATATTGGTTGAGTAATTCAATGATATTTGTTTTGACAAAACATGTTGGTTTTATTATAAATTCATTTTAATTGTTTTATGACACAAGTATTATTCTAAACAATGTATTAAAACAACTATATTATATTTCACATAAAAAAAGAAAAACACCCGCCATGATATGTCGGGTAAAACAATAGCAATAACAAAATAGTAATAGTAAATTATAAATAAACTAATTATAAGACAAACCCACTAGAAAAGTATGATGACAGACACGAAACAAGACACTTGGGAAGACCGAGTTCCAAGGCAAATAGGGTGGGGACTTCTTCCAAAAGGGAGTGTGTTGTATGACAGTGACATTTATGGTGGTACGTCGAGTGACGAATTTACAAAGCGAATTGTAGGTAAGCGGAATTTGTTTTTCTTCAACTTTGACCAGAAGGGGAATGTGTTTGGAGCGTATATCAAAAGCATGATAACAGGTACTGACGTGTGGATAGAGGATAGCAACCACTTCATAATATCAATTGATTCTACCGAACCGATAACATCACAAAAGCATTGGTTTCCAAAAGGTCGAAATGCTAAGCATGCCCTTATGGTCTACAAAAATGACCCAAACAAATTGTATACTGTTGGTGGATTTGGGTATGGCTATTTCACAATATGTAAAACAAATGTGTGTTTGAGTCATTGTGTGAATTTGTCGTGGGAATATAAAAACATGGAGGACACGGACTTGAATGGGACTAACCATCCTCAGTACTTCTTGACGAAACGAATACTAGTTATTGAAAATATAGAACTCAAATAATCATGTTCAGTCCCTCAAGCTAGCCTTATGGGAAAAGCCTGCCTTCTGGGATTGTATTTTAATTATTTCTATTATATAAACTAGAAATAAATTATTTTTTTTATTTTCAAATTTTTTCTTTGTTTCATTTCAATCAATCAGGATATTTTACCAAATATTGTTTTTAATAATTAACCATTAATTATAGAATTGTTATTATTAATTTACTATATTTTGAACAATTATTAGTACTTCTTTGTTATGTTGTGTTTAGTATAATATATATTCTATCAAAATATAATATAAATTATAAAATAAAATTATAATAATTTTTCTTATATATTATTGTTAACAGATAATAAAACAAATAGAAAACAAACAACATTCAATTGTATTGTTGTTCTTGATAATTGTCTTGTGGCGTTGGCTGTGTTTGAGTCTCTTGGACTTCAATTGGAGTCGATTGCTGTGGCTGTTGGGCTGGTTGTATAGTCGTTTGTTTTTTCACTGGTTTGACTTGTTTTACTTCTTTGAGTTCTTTTTGTTCGTCTTCTTCGTCATAAGCTAAAATAGGTTCATTCGCCTTTTTAATAGCTTTCTTAGCTTCAAGAAGAACTCTTTTGACTTGTTCTCGCAATTTCCTTCCTGGCTTTCTGATTCTGAATTTTTTGGTCTTCTCCACTTTGCCTTTTTTCAATGGACTCATTTTCTTTGTTTCTTTTTGCTTTGCACTTTTACCAGTTTTACTCGTTTTTTGCAAAGTTTTCGCTTTTTGAACCTTTGAAGTGGAAGTGCCCGCCTTCTCTGCTTTACTCGACTTTCCTTTCTTTTTGTCAATTTTTCCTAACGCTTTATTCAATTCTTTTGTCTTTTCTTCGGCTACCACTTGGAGTTCACTTTTTGCTTTACCATCATCTTGAAGTTTATATTCATTCATACCAACACATTCACCGAATGTTGTGATTATGAAGCTCAACAATATTAAAGTTGATAAAAGAGCTTTCATTACAGTTATAACACTATACTTATACCGTTCCAGTTCTACGGATACATGTCATCTATAAAATCACTTCACTCCTTATCTTTTGTGTTTGTGGTTCTTTGGTAGTTTTGTTTCAAACTGTCTTTGACCTCTGAAAAAATTGTTTTGTGATCCTTTTTCTTTTTTCATTAAAAAACTAGTTAAATCAAAACACAAAAGAAATTATGAAGCGAAGTATGTGACCTTCGCCAAGTCATCCACTCCTCAATTTGGACACACAAAATTACTCAAAGTATAAAGAATAAACCAACTCATTTATATTTAAGTGTTTATTGTAGTGATTCTTATGTGTGTTCTTATGAGGCTTCTGCTTGTTCCTGTGGTTCTTGTTGTGGTTGTGTTTGTTGTTCTGTCTGTGGTTCTTGTTGCTGTTGAGCTTTTGGTTGTGTTTCTGGTGTTGTAGAAGGGAACAGTTGTTGAACAGTGACACGTGGAGGAACAGTTGGAATATCGACTTGTTTTTGGACTACTGGAAGTGGTTGTTTCGCGAGTTCGAGTGCTTGTTGTGTCGATTGTAACAATTCCTGAATTTGCATGAGCAACTTTTGTCCAGGTGGGAGTTGTTCTTGTTTCGGTGCTGCTTGAGCTTCTTGCTCTTGTCCTTCATTTTGATCGAAAAGTTGGAAGTCCTCACCGTCTTCAACGTATTCACACATCGTGGTTTGGATCATCCCAACAACAAATAACATTATTACAAATGTTTTTAACATCACAGTATAAAGTATGAGTATTACAGTTCTCTATGATATAACGACTATGTGCAAGTACTCTGAATTTAAAATATTATTTTTTAAATTAATTTCAAATTGCCATTGTTGAATGAAAATTAAGACTTTGTCTTGGCATTTTTATTATTTGATTTCTTTTTTTTTGATTTCATTTTTTCCAATTTTGTGTGTAAACCGATTTAATTTAATAAATATACTATAATTTTACTATAAATATTAATAATAATGAAAACTTACGAACTCTCGAAATTGTACATCTGTTTTTGTTTTTATAACTAATAAAAATAAATTACATTATCATTTATTTTTTTTATTCCAAAAACAATAAATGATAATGTAATTGATTAATTAATAAATTAATTAAATGAAATATACTAGTTAAGTTATAACTTCATACTATATGAAGTCAATCCTCAAACTAGACTTCACATGAAAGGAGATAAGACCATTTGACAAAAAGTGAACTTCAACTGACAAACCAATGGAAATAGACGGATCCCAATTAGAGGGTGGTGGACAGATTTTGCGTGTCACGTGTTCGTTTGCCGCATTACTCAAGAAAGATATTCACATACACTCAATCCGTAAAAACAGGAAGAACCCCGGGCTGGCCAATCAACATGTTGTATGTATCTCGGCTATTCGAGACCTTTTCAGTATTCCTGTCGATTCGCTCAAAGAGAAGCAGACTGAGTTGTTTTTCCCGGCTTCAAAAGCGGTACTTCCTCCACAGCCAATCATGAAGAAATTTTCGATGCGAGGAGCCGGTAGTTGTTGCCTTGTTCTTCAGTCACTAATGCCTTGTTTATTTGCGATAGAAGGCGTACACCATATTATTGTGTGTGGAGGTACTCACACTCTATGGGCACCATCACCGGAGTATTTCATGCAGATCTACTCTCCTCCTCTTAGGGATATGGGAATACTCCTGGAAGTGCAGATCAGGCGCTTTGGGTTTTTCCCGAGAGGTGGTGGTGAAATTGAGTGTACGATGACGTGCCCGGCTGAAATAAAACCGATTGTTCAAAATGGGAGAGGTAAGGCGCTTAGAGTCGTAGGAAGAGTCATTGGTGGCAACGATCAGGACTTTACCATCGGGGACGTTGCAAGCGAGTTGAAAAAAGAGCTTCGAAAGGTAGTCAAATTTGGTGGTGAAGTAGTGAAGAGTGAAATCGAAGTGGTGAACGTTGGGGGAAAGGCGAAAATTGTTGAAATATTTGTTGAGTTTGAGAGCTGTCGAATCTCTTCGTTTGTTGTTGAGGAGAACAACGAGGGGTGGGGGAAGTTGCTTGAAAGGAGTTTGGAGCGCCTTCAAATGGAGTTGAAACATGACGGGTGTTGTGATGAGTATTTGCAAGACATGATGTTAGTGCCGATGGCGTTAGCGAAAGGCAAAAGTCGCATAACATGTGGTGAGGTTAGCATGCACTCAAAGACAATGTTTGAAGTTATCAAACAAATGATGGGAGTTGAGTTTGTTGTGACCAAGTCCACGAATTGTAATGTTATAGAGTGCGATACATCCAAATGAAAAATTGAGTTAGTTTAGTTCTTTAATTTGTCCATTAAAAAATTTGATTGACTGAGATTATATAACAATAAAAGTGATTTTTTGAATATTTTAATATATTTTAATGTTAAATTTTAACACAAACAAAAGGATGGTTTATACAAAGTGTTTTATTTAAAAAATCACATTTAGAGGATTACAAATAATACAACAAACGATATAAATGTTATGGTATATATAAATAAAAATAGGATATTAAAAGACACGACAAGGCGGGATATTTCGGTGATTATTCAACAGTTAAAAAAGTTGTTTTGTAATTGTGAGTATTTTACACCGAAGAAATGTTTTCTAATTAATTGAAGAAGTGTCACAAAATGCCTTGTCAATGGAATAGACATGTTATGAATTATAGGCTTAATTATAATTTATGAATAAAAAGAAGAAGAATAAAAACATGAATTAGTGAAGTAAAGATTCGATACAAGAGGGCATGACAATGTCATCGTGTGTGCGTATCATTTCTTTAAAAACGGGAAGTTCGTTGTCGTCATAGTCCCAAGACATGGGGCTTGCAGAATATGCAGGAGCAGCCTCCCAATCAATAATTTCTCTTAATAAGTTGTGAGTGTCTTCTTTCAAGTAACTGTCTTGAGATGTTTCTTCATCGTCGGTATGTGAGTCATCCGAGTCTTGTAACACTGGGGACGTTGGAGCTGAAATGTGTTCGAAGAAGGAATTAAACATTTTCATAGTGGCCTTTTGCCTTCTCATTCTTTTGCTCGACATCGCCTCTGAGTATTCGATAATGACTTGTTGTCCATTCCAGTACTTTCCATCTTCATTGGCTTTGGCCATTGAAGCACTTTCGGTGTTTGCAAATTTGACGAAGGCGTAGACTTGTTCTCCGCGGGGAATAGTCACTCTTTCGATGAGTCCGTACATCGACAACTTTGAACGGATGTACTGCTCGTCACAAGTTTTCATTCCATTGATAAAGAGTGTAGTTTTGTCCAAGTCACAGTCTTTAATTTGTGAAGACTTCGCCCATTCTACAACAATCTTAGTGTTATCTGAAAAGACTCCTTTGTGTTCTTTGGCGTCGGAAACACACTTCATGGCGTCCGCAACTCTTCTGAATTTGACAAATCCACACGCTTTCGACTTCTTCCCTTCGGAGAGTAAAGTGACTTCACTGACTTCTCCATAGTTCGAGCATAACCTTTTGAGGCTCGCCTCGTCTCGTTTACCGATTCTTGCAACAAAGATAGTTGTCGCGCTGTTCATGGTGTGAAGATTGAATGGTTGAATAGGGTTGGCAGTCCACCTTTATATATACTAGCTGGAACAGAAAACACATCTCGCTAAAACCCTCACTTATTTTTATTTCACTTTCTTCACGATTTCTTGCCTTTTCCCCCCACTGTGACGGCCGGCTGCTCCCCCTACAAAAATACAAGAACGACTCGTTGCACCCTCAAACACCATTTATCGGAATGA